AGGGGCGCGGGCCCAGCCGCTGCCCGGGGTCCCGGGACGCGTTAGAGGCTCAGCGCTGGGCGCGGTGGGGTGGCGGTGGGAACGGCCTCCCCGGCCCAGCCCCGGGGGCCGAGATCTGGGCAGTAGCGGGCCGGAGTGGCTGCTCCCTCGGGCCGAGGCCTACACATGGCCTGTCACGCTTGCAGGCACATGCGGCCCGGGTCACACACACACAGATGCAAACGTGCACACCTGGCTCACATGAGGACACACCTTGACCCACAGCACATACTAACACGTGCACACAGGAGCACACATGCGGGCACACAGGGACACAAGTGCAAGGGCATGCCCACACCTGGCTCTCACATGTGCACAGGCACATCCTGACCACCCAGACACACACGTGCGCACAGCTCACACAGAGACACACAGCTGCACTCTCACCTCCACAGTTCACACACAGGGCTGCACACCAGGCCCCGTCTGCACACGTGCGGCACACGTGTGTACCCCCAGGCCTGGGATGTGCAGGCCCACCCATGTATGCACACGCAGACATATACAAGCAGATGTGCACATGCAGACACACACATGGACATAGCATGCATGCATGGGTCCAGACACGCAGTTCACACACTAGCCCACATGCATACACACGTGTCTCACACTGCCCACAGCTCATTGCAGCTCACAGCGCATGTCCCAGGACTCCAGGGTGAGTTCACAAACACCCACAGGCCCTGTCTGGGCAACAGGGTCCTGTCAGTTTGTCCCCATGCCATGGTGGCCCTTCTCACATCCGGCCCAATTCTCTGCCTCTGTTGGCTTCTAGTTTCTTTTATGTCTCTGCCTCTGTTTTTTTCTTATCCCTCCTTTCCCTCTCTTGGACACATGCATACACTATGCATGCACTCACAGACATGTGTGCACATATGCATGCACACTTGGACATGCATGCACACACACACGCACGCAGTTCTCTGCTCGATCCTTCACACCCAGTCCCGCCCCTGACCCATTCAGTGGGACAGTTAGACTATGCCACACCCTAGAGGGACACAGCCCTCAGGGATAAGGACGCTGGACAGGGCAGGACACATCTTGTGCCAGCTGCCCCTCCCTTCCACACACGCTCCACCCCAGCAGCGCTCAATGCTGGCTGCCCTGGGAGTGGCTGGGTTGCCCATGGTGAGCTGGAGCCCTGACTCCCTCCTTGGTATATGCCCCGCTGGGGTCGATGCCCAGCATAAGGGAAGTAAGACCCACGGGCCCTCAGGCTTCCCTGCCTGGCCCCCTCCATCACCCCAGGACCCAGGCCCACAGTGCTAACCCACAGCCCTAGCCCTCCTGTTAGCACTTCCTGCCCTGTACCCCCATCCTGCACGTCTCAGCTCTGGCAACTTCCTGAGCCCCCACATCTGGCACAGGCGGCCCCACCTCCTGCCCATTCCTGCTTTGCGGGTTCCCAGGGCTAGAGTTGGCAGGGACAGCTGCAGCCCAAACAGCTGGGGCTGGGGTGTGTGTGTGGGGGGGAGCGTGGGAACTGTGGGTAGAGGGGCTCCCTGCACCCACGGAGACACCCCCCACCTGGCACAGCTGTCGTCTGGGGGAGGGAGGGAGGGGGTCTGCCACTCTGGGCTGGGGTTCCTGGATGCCTGGCCGACCCTTGCCTTCCTTTGCTGCCCCCCACAGCCTCCCCTTGCCTGGATGGGAGCCCGTGTGTGAATGGAGGTCGCTGCACCCAGCTGCCCACGCGGGAGGCTGCCTGTCTGTGAGTCTTGGAACCCTCAGTGAGCTGAGGCCCAGTGTGGGGAGGTGGTTTGTCTTCTGCCGATGCCACTTCCTACATGCCGGTGGCCTTGGGCAACAGTGATGAAACCTCGTTTCCCCTTCAGGAATATAGCAGGGTTAACGTTCTGGAGCAGAAGAAAGACGCGGCACTGTGTTCCTGTGGCACTCTGTTCCTGTAAAGATTGTTGTTAGCTACTGTCAAGTCGATTCCGACTCACAGAGACCCTGTGTACTACAGAACGAAACACTGCCTGGTCCTGTGCGCCATTCTCACAATTTGACTGAGCCCGTAAAGATTACAGCCGAGAAGACCCTGTGGGGAAGTTCTATTCTGTCACATAGGGTTGCTATGAGTCGGAATTGACTTAATGGCACACAACAAAAACAGGGCTCTGGAGTCCACCTGGCTTGGGTTTAAATCCCACATGTTGCCAACTGCCTGGGATGTACATCCTTTAAGCCTCAGAGTCTGGGTCTGGAAAATGGGCCCATTAATCCCAACTTCAAGAGCCCCTGGGTGGTGCAAATGATTAAGCGCTCAGCTGCTAACCAAATGTTGGAGGTTTGAGTCCACCCAGAGGTGCCTCGGAAGAAAGGCCTGGTGATCTACTTCTGAAAAGTCAGCCTTTGAAAATCCTATGGAACCAGTTCTACTCTGGTACACATGGGGTCGGCATGACTTGGGGTCGACTCGACAGTAACTGGTTCTACTGGTAATCCCCAACTTTACAGAGTCCCGTGTAAAGCCTCTGATGGAGGGAGTTATTATTCAATCAACAAACCCTTAGGGACCAATGCTAGGACTTGGCAGTGGTGTGGACACCATCTGCACCCTCCCGTTTCTCTGGAATTGGTGGCTCTGCTACACTCTCACTGTGTGACCTTGGGCTAGTCACTTCTCCTCTCTTAACCTCTCTGCATCTGTGAAATAGGTATGTTGTCCCTGGCTTGTGGACTGTGAAGGGGCCTAAGAATTCAGTGGTGGGATAATACAAAGAAAGACAAAGCGTTGAGGGGAGCAGGCATGGCGGAGCAGGAAAAAGCTGAGCAGGGACAGATGAGCTGAGTCTGAATTCTGGGCTCTGGGACACCTTGGGCAAGTGCTCTGAGCTTTCTGAGCCTCAGTTTTTGCATCTGGAAAATGGGGCAGTAATTGCTCCTCAAGGAACCCTGGTGGTGCAATGGTTAAGTGCTCAGCTGCTAACTGAAAGGTTGGTGGTTCGAACCCACCAGCTGCTCCAAGGGAGAAGAGATCTGGTGATCTGCTCCAGTAAGGATTATAGCCTAAGAAACCCTATGGGCGGTTTTACTCTGTCCTATGGGGCTGCTATGAGTCGGAATCGACTCCACAGCAAACAACCACCACCACCACCATAGCTCTCTTTTTCGAGGCTGATTGTAAAGATTAACAGAGACCAGCAGAGTGCTCTGCGTACAGTAAGTGCTCAATAAATACGTGTCATTATTACAAATAATAATAACAAATAATAATAATTTCCTGTGTCCCTACCATAATAATACAGGAACCTCTCATGGTTATGGGGAAATGCTTGGCTCCGTTTGTAATATTGTTATATTCAGCAGCCATGAATTGATTCGTTAATGTATTAATTTATTCAACAACGTGTGCCAGGCACTGGTTTGGGCCCAGGCTGGGTGATCTGGGGGCGACTGTATTCCCAGGGGAGCCCCTTTGAAGTTACACAGGCTTTGGCCAAGCCCACCTGGGCTCACCTGGGTGGGGGCTGAGCCTGGCCGAGGGGGTTTCTGGGGAGGTGGTGGTGGGAGTAGGGTAAAGTGTGACTTTACCTGGAGCCACTCGGGAGGTGGAGCCGCGGGCCCCGGCGCCTGCGCAGTGTGGCTCCGCGCCTGGAATACAGCCGACAGGTGAATATGCCCGCGGCTGCTCCGCCTCCCGACAGGTGAATCACCGGCGCGCGCGGCCGCCCGGAGCCCGGATCTCCCGGAGCGGAGCAGGCTCAAGCCCACGAACTGGGCTGTGGGAACGACTCCCCACGGGGTCCCCCAAATCTCCTTCAAGGTCCAAAATACGCGTGTCCTTTTGGGGACACCTCAAATTATCCCCCCCTCTCCAGAGAACTCCCAAGTCTCTCCTCCCAAGGAGGCTCCCAAACTCTTGTCCCCATCACTGACCCCTCCCCTCCCGGCGGGCACACCCCCACCCCCAGTCCGCATCCCCCCTCCCGCGTCTCCCCCAAAGCCCAGGCCTTGGGGCCGGGCGCAGGCGGGGGCTGGAACCGGCCCGACCGGTCGGCGCGGGCGCTGGGCGCGGAGCGTGGGAACTCGCCTGCGGCGTAGGGAGGGGGCGGGCAGGCCGCGCCCCGCTGGCGGTGGCGCAAGCTGTGCGCGGCGCCTGGGAGCAGCGCGCCCCCTCCTGGCGCGCAGTCGTGGCGGCGGGCGGCACCCTGCAGGCCTTTGAGGAGGGGGCTGAAAGTTGAGCCCCCCTTCCTCCTAGCGTCACCTGCACACTCCCCTGCCCGGCCTTGTCCCAACCTGTCCCGCTGGGGGCTGGGGTGGGGGGATTTTGTGGGTGACGCGTACTGAGTCAGCTACTTGCTTGAGCTCAGCCCCAGGCGTCTGGGACAAGGAAAGGCTGGGGCGGAGATAGTGCACCGGATGGAGTGGAGGGGAGGGAGCAGTGTCGGGAGCGGGACCTGGACCCTCTCTCCTCTCCAAACCCCTCCTCTGACTCCCACCCCCGCCACCCCCCCGCTAGTCCCCCAGGCTGTTCCAGTCTTAAGACCCCTCCCCTCCCAGCTCTCAAATTTCTAACACTCATAGTTGCCTTGGTGAGGTTGGGAAGGGACTGCGTGCTGATGGACCCTCCGCAACATGAGGGGAATCTCCGACATTGATGTCTCAGTGCCCCCCACCCTTGGAGGAAAGGTTGTATATATGGCTGGCTAAAGGCGTGGAGTATTTGTGGGGGCCCTGGTGTCCTCCAAGGAGCCCTGGTGGCACAACAGTTAAGTGCTTAGCTGCTAACCAGGGCAGGGTTGGAACCTGCCCAGCGGCTCTGAGGGAGAAGGACCTAGCCATCTGCTCCAGTAAATATTACAGCCTCGAAAACTCTGTGGAGCAGTTCTACTCTGTCACATGGGGTTGTTACTCGAAAATCGACTCCATGGCACCTAACGAAAACAACAACACGTGTTGGTCCATGTGAGAGTTGCCCTGTCCTTGTTGAGCCATGGACTGGGTCTGAGTTTGCGAGGCTAAGAGGGTGGGTTTGTGTGTCCCTTTGTGTGTATTTGTGTATGTTTCTGTGTTTGTTTGGTCTGTGCGTGCCTGTGCACTTGTCTCCTGGATTCTGAGACTTTTCATGTGCTCTTCCCTCTGCCTGGAGCACTGTTCCCCACACAGCCCCTCACTGCCTTCAATCTGTGCTTTCTAATGTCCCATTATGAGAGAGGCCTTTCCTGACCCCACTCTATAAAGTAGCTCCCATCCCATCACTCGGTCTCCCTTATCCTTACTCTTTGTGGGAGTTCCAGAGGCTGCCATAACAAATAACCCCTTACGTTGGCTTAAAACAACAGCAATGTATTCTGTCACAGTTCTGGAAGCCAGAAGTCCAAAATCAAGGTGTCAGCAGGGCTGTGCTCCCTCCCAAGGCTCTAGGGGAGGATCCTTCCTCGTCTCTTCCAGCTTCTGGTGGCTCCAGGCATTCCTGGGCTTGTGGCAGCATCATTCCAGTCTCGGCCTCCGTTGTCACATAGCCGTCTTCCCCCTGTGTCTCTGTGTCTTCTCCTCTTCTGTCTTTTATAAGGACACTGGTCATTGGATTTGGAGCCCTGGTGGCGTAGTGGTTAAGAGGTCAGCTGCTAACCAAAAGGTTGGCAGTTCGAACCTACCAACTGCTCCTTGGAAACCCTATGGGGCAGTTCTACTCTGTCCTATAGAGTCGCTGTGAGTTGGAATTGACTCAATGGCACTGAGTTTAGTTTTGGGTTTTGGTCACTGAATTTAGGTCCCACCCGGATAATCCAGGATGATCTCATCTCGAGATCCTAAATTACATCTGCAAAAGCCTTTTTTTCCAAATAAGGTCACCTTCACAGGTTCTGGGATGTGGACATCTCTTTTTTGGGAGCCACCATTCACCCCATTCACCCTTCCTGACCCTCTCTCTGCCTGTGGTCATGTTAAGTATTAATTCACTATTGTATATGTTCTCTTTGTCTGGCCTGGTTGTGAGCATCAAGAGCGAATATTGTTGTTGTTAGCGTCAAGTCAGTTCCGACTCATGGAGACCCCATGTGTGCAGAGTAGAACTGCTCCATAGAGTTTTCATGGCTGTGACCTTTCAGAAGCAGATCTCCAGGCCTGTCTTCTGAGGCACCGCTGGGTGGGTTCAAACCTCCAACCTTTTGGCTAGGAGTCTAGAGCTTAGCCATTTTCACCACTCAGGGACTCCATCCATCAAGTGGGTAGGGACCACTTTTATTTTGTTTGCGGCTGTATTCCTAGTGAGTTCCTAGTAAGGTCACTGGGTGGCGCAAACAGTTTCCACTTGGCTACTAACTGAAAGATTGATCGTTTGAGTCCACCCAGCGGTACTTTGAGAGAAAGGCCTGGCAATCTACTTCCATAAGATAAAACCAAACCCATTGCCATTGAGTCAATTCAACTCATAGCGACCCTACAGGACAGAGTAGAACTGCCCCATAGGGTTTCCAACGAGTGGTGGTGGATTTGAACCGTCGACCTTTCGGTTAACAGTCGTAGCTCTTAACCACTGCACCACCAGGGCTCCTCCTGTGGAGTGTAGTTCTACTCTGACACACGTGGGGTCGCCATGAGTCAGAAAGGACTCGATGGCAACAGGTGTCAGGTTTGGATTCCTAATTACAGCTCAGGAAATACTTGTTGCACGGATGAATATGCGTGCTTGTTGGGCTGTTAGCCTGTGTGTTTCTTCCTTGTCTTGTGTGTATCTCTGTGTCCTGCCCTGCCCCCACCCACCTGTCTCTGCCCACAGGTGCCCCCCAGGCTGGGTGGGTGAGCGGTGCCAGCTGGAAGACCCCTGCCACTCAGGTCCCTGTGCTGGCCGAAGTGTGTGCCAGAGCTCGGTGGTGGCGGGCACTGCCCGCTTCTCCTGCCGCTGCCCTCGTGGTTTCCGAGGTGAGGGCGGGTCTGGAGGGGAGCCCAAGGCAGGCAAAGGTGTGGCCAATCCCAAGCTCACCCTCCCCTGGCCCCTCCAGGCCCCGACTGCTCCCTGCCGGACCCCTGCCTCAGCAGCCCCTGTGCCCATGGTGCCCGCTGCTCTGTGGGGCCCGATGGACGCTACGTCTGCTCCTGCCCAACGGGCTACCAGGGCCGCAGCTGCCGCAGCGACGTTGATGAATGCCGGGGGGGTGGGCCCTGCCACCACGGGGCCACCTGTCTCAACACACCTGGCTCCTTCCACTGCCAGTGCCCAGCTGGCTACCTGGGACCACTGTGCGAGAGCCCTGCTGTGCCCTGTGCTCCCTCGCCCTGCCGGAATGGGGGCACCTGCCGGCAGAGTGGCGAGTACGCCTATGACTGTGCCTGCCTTCCTGGTGAGTAAACTGTGCCCGGGGAGCCAGCAGGAGGGGACAGGAGGCAGCCCAGCTGTGGCCATCCCTGCCTGTCTTAGGTTCCTAGTCCTGTTGTAACAAAAATACCACAAGTGGATAGCTTTAATGAATAGAAATGTATTGTCTCCCAGTTCAGGAAGCTAGAAGTCTGATTTCAAGGCACCGGCTCTAGGGGAAGGCACTCTCTCTGTCCGCTCTGGGGGAAGGTCCTTGTCTCTTTCAGCTTCTCTTCCTCAGTTCCCTGTCAATCTCCACGTGGCATCTTTCATCCCCCATCTGTGCTTCCTGGCCTCTGTGTCTATTCTGCTCCTATTATATCTCAAAAGGGATTGGCTTAAGACAGTGATATGGCCTCATTACCATAACAAAGAAAACCTTGTTTCCAAATGGGATTATATCCACAGGTATAGGGGTTAGGATTTACAACACGTATTTTTTGGGAACACCATTCACTCCATAACACTGCCCCTCCCCCCATGCCAGGGTTTGAGGGCCAAAACTGTGAAGTGAATGTGGACGACTGTCCAGGACACCGATGTCTAAATGGGGGGATGTGTGTGGATGGCGTGAACACCTACAATTGCCAGTGCCCCCCCGAGTGGACAGGTGGGTCACGGGGTGAAGGGAGCTGGGCGGTGGGCCCCGGCTGGGCATGAACCAGGTGGCTGGACTGGGGTGTCTGTGTGCCACAGGCCAGTTCTGCACGGAAGACGTGGACGAGTGTCAGCTGCAGCCCAATGCCTGCCACAATGGGGGCACCTGCTTCAACACCTTGGGTGGCCACAGCTGCGTGTGTGTCAATGGCTGGACAGGCGAGAGCTGCAGCCAGAACATCGATGACTGCGCCACAGCCGTGTGCTTCCACGGGGCCACCTGCCATGACCGTGTGGCCTCCTTCTACTGCGCCTGCCCTATGGGAAAGACCGGTGAGTGGCTGTCTTCCCTGTGGGCAGCAGAGAGCCATTGATCGTTCTTGAGTGGTGCCAGGATGGAGTCTGACTTGAGCAGTAGAAAGATTATGGTAGATGCTGGGTTTGGAGGGAAGGATAAGACTGGGAGAGGCTTGGGAGGAGGCTGGCCATAGCCTGGGGCTAGAGCCATGGGAATAAAGAGCTATTGGGAGGTGCAACTGAGAAATCACGTGGCAGTGGTGGTTGAGAGGTAGAATTCTCACCTTCCATGTGGGACACCCGGGTTCCATTCTGGCCAATGCATCTCATGCACAGCCACCACTCACCACCCATCTGTCAGTGGAGGCTTTCATGTGCTGTGATGCTGAACAGATTTCAGCAGAGCTTCGAGACTAAGAAGGACTAGGAAGAAAGGTCTGGTGATCGACTTCTGAAAATCAGCCCATGAAAACCCTATGGGTCACAGTGGTCTGATCCACAACCAATTACGGAGACAGTGAAGGACCGGGCAGCATTTCATTCCATTGTGCCTGGGGTTGCTATGAGTCAGGGGTTGACTTGATGTCAGTTAACAGCAACAACTGAGAAAGCAGAGCAAGTCTTCTAGTGAAGCAGACCTTTCAAAAGGAGAAGGGTCAGAGAAGGTGTTCAGGAAAGGGGGCTTGGAGATGGAGGGAAGGACATGCTAGGCAGAGGGTACTGCAGAAGCAAAGGCTTGAGGGTAAAACCCTCTTATAACCAGAAAATGCCTCAACAGAGTTAAAAACAATAAGTGGATATTTGTAATTTATTTTCAAATGGCTCAAAAAAGAAAAACAGGTAGACTGATAGATAGATGATAGATAAGATTAGATAGCTTGATGGAGCTAACAATAGTGGAAATGAAGTGGTGGGCATATGAATTACCGACTTTTCTGTATGTTTGAAAATTTTAATAATAAATGCTTACAAAAAGTCATTAACCAAAAGGTCCCGCCAGCTATTCTGTGGGAGAAAGATGTGGCAATCTGCTTCCGTAAAGATATACAGCTTTGGAAACCCTATATAGGGTCATTATGAGTCAGAATCGACTCGATGGCAATGGGTTTGGGTTTTTTGGTACTAAATACACTGTAGATAAAAGCAAAAAATGAAAACAAAACAAAACAACAATATATGGGAGTTTGAGACCTTTAGGCAGATTTGGAGGGTCCACTGCTGACCTCTGCCTGCCGCCTTTTCCAGGGCTCCTGTGCCACCTGGATGATGCCTGTGTCAGTAACCCCTGTCATGAGGATGCCATCTGTGACACCAACCCAGTGAATGGCCGGGCCATCTGCACCTGCCCCCCGGGCTTCACAGGAGGGGCATGTGACCAGGATGTGGATGAGTGCTCCATCGGTGAGGGGGTTATCTGGGAGTGGGTGGGGAGGGGCGGAGCCTGGACCGTCCACACCCACACTGGCTCTGCCTCCTCCCCAAGGAGCCAACCCCTGCGAGCACCTGGGCAGGTGCGTGAACACACAGGGCTCATTCCTCTGCCAGTGTGGCCGTGGCTACACAGGCCCACGCTGCGAGACCGACATCAACGAGTGTCTGTCGGGGCCCTGCCGCAACCAGGCCACGTGCCTGGACCGTATTGGCCAGTTCACCTGCATCTGCATGGCAGGTGCGTGGTGGGCGAGATGGGGGGCCGTGCCTGAGGCCAAAGGTGGGGCCAAGTGGAGCCAGTAGAGGAGGTGGAGAGAGAAGCAGGGGTGGCACTGGGCTTGGGGCGCTACCCGGAGAGGCTGTGAGCAGAGCCTGGCCAGGTGGGGGCGGGGCCAGAGCAGAACTGTGTGCGTACCTGGGGGCAGGGCCAAATGGAGGAGACTCAGGTGGGCTGGGAGTGGAATCTGGGCCTTGGGACATGCATGGTGGTGGTGGGGGGGGCGGTGAGATGAGGTTGGGTAGGGCAGAGCACGTGGGGCAAGGTGGAGCCTGCAGTCTAGGACTAGGCATGCATGGCCTGGACTTTGTCCTGGAGGGAGGGTCTGAATGACCATATGGAATCTCAGAAGTCTTGGACCAGTTGGGACCGTGGTTGAGTGAGGGTCCAGCTGAGGCCAAAACTGAATCTAGGATTAGGGTTGAGAATGGCGCCAGGGCCCAAGGGGCCTGCCATGAGTAAGGAGGGGATCATCTTCCCTCTTGACCCCCCTGAGACCAGGGGGAAGCCCCCATTCCCCGGATCTTCCCCCGTCTTCCCAGGTTTCACAGGCACCTTTTGCGAGATGGACATCGATGAGTGTCAGAGCAGTCCATGTGTCAACGGTGGCGTCTGCAAAGACCGCGTCAATGGCTTCAGCTGCACCTGTCCCTCAGGTGAGCTCCCTGGGCCGGGGGGCCAGTAATGGAGGGCCCTGCGGGGGCAGAGGTGAGGAAGGTGGTGCTAGCGGGTAACTTAGGACAGAAACTACGTGTTGTGAAAAATTTTGAAATTAGTTTAAAATCAAGTAAATGGGCTTCCCAGGCCCAAAAGAGCAGGGCTGGAGAGGAGTGACTGCTCCTGATCTTGCTTGGGCCTTCCCTCACCCCTCATCTTCTCCCCACCTCCCCGCCCCCAGGCTTCAGTGGGGCCACGTGCCAGCTGGATGTGGACGAGTGCGCCAGCACGCCCTGCAGAAATGGCGCCAAGTGCGTGGACCAGCCCGACGGCTACGAGTGTCGCTGCGCAGAGGGTGAGGGTGGGGCGAGGATCAGCCAGTGACAGGCTGGAGGGAATTTAGAGGCGAGGCTAGTGGGAGACAGGGCCATAATAGGCTTGGGGAAAGCTTGGGGGCCAGGCAGTGCTAATGAGAGTCTGTGGCAAGATAAGACCTGGGCAGGGCCAATGATAAACATAGGCACAGGTAAGGCTGCGGATGGAGTCAATGACAGGGAATGGGGGAGGAGCCAACGATGGACAGGCAGAGGTAAGGCTAGGGGAGGAGCCAATGACGAACATAGGCCAAAAAAGGGCTAGGGGAAGATCAGTGTCCAGCAGGGTCCAGGACTAGTTTAACTCGAGGGGATGGGTCCAAACCCCTTTATTCCCCCCAGGAGCCTCCCATGTGCCCCCACTTCCTGTCCTTGCTGGAACAGGGCTGATTGTGTAAGAACTGGAGGTAGGGCCACAGCTTTGGGAGGGTCGTGGTCAGGGAAGAGCCCTGGAGCTTTTAGCTGGATGGATGGGAGGCAAGCTAGGGGCTGGGCCTGAGTTGAATCAGCCTCCTGACAGCGCTGTGGGTGGGGCCTGAGGTAGAGCGAGCCAGGATTGGGCCGAGCCACGCCTGTGGGCAGGGCTTGGGCGGTGGGTGGAGCCTGACCCTCGTGCCCTACAGGCTTTGAGGGCACCCTGTGCGAGCGAAACATTGACGACTGCTCGCCGGACCCTTGCCACCATGGGCGCTGTGTGGATGGCATCGCCAGCTTCTCGTGCGCCTGCGCCCCAGGCTACACCGGCACGCGCTGTGAGAGCCAGGTGAATGAGTGCCGCAGCCAGCCCTGCCGCCACGGGGGAAAATGCCTAGACCTGGTGGACAAATACCTCTGTCGATGCCCGCCAGGCACCACAGGTGGGTCTAGGGGCAGGGCTAGGGCAGCGACAGCACACCTGGAGGGGCACAGAAGGTTTGGGAGTGGGGCATGGGTGGGGGGTAGAAAGGATTGGGGACCGCACACCTGGAGGGGCACAGGTTTGGGAATGGGGCATGAGTTGGGGGCAGAAAGGATTGGGGACTGCACATATGGAGGGGCACAGAAGGTTTGGCAGTGGGGCACCTGGGGGGGCCACAGTGGTGACTGGTCCCTGCCATGTTCCCCTCCCCCAGGTGTGAACTGTGAGGTGAACATCGATGACTGTGCCAGCAACCCTTGCACTTTTGGGATTTGCCGGGATGGCATCAACCGCTACGACTGTGTCTGCCAGCCTGGCTTCACAGGTGAGTGAGTGGCTGCCTTGGGAAGGGGGTCCTTACAGGCAGTGGTGAAGTCACCTGTCTTTGTTGGCCAGCTCATGGCCTTCTGTAAAAAATGGTGTGGTGGGGGCATCTGACCTCCTCTAACTTCACTAGGGGGAGAGAGAATCAACATCAGCATCAGCCCAAGGCTGATTCCTATGAAGCAGAGGTCAGATATACCTCCTCTCTCCAAACTTTTTACCAATTCCAACACCAGCCGTCCCTCCCATGGCACTCTCCACTGCTCTGCTGGGTAGGATAATTCATTGCAGTGACCACACAGAACTCACAGACAATACGATTATAGGTTTTATTAGGGAAGTAACAGGTTACAATTCAGGATCAGAAACGACTCAGGATACAGCTCTTCAGTCAGGACAGCTTCCAGGCCGTGCCCTCAGGCAGGCCTCTCCCTGGCCCTCGGCCCTCAGCCCTCGGCCCCTTGGCCCCTTGGCCTCTTGGCCCCTCAGGTCTGTTGGGACTCTTGGGCCTCTAGGGCTGGCCCGGCCTGGCCTGTGCCCTGCTTGGGCAAGTGTTACAAATCTCATTAGCTCCACCAGTAAGTTCCCTAGAGGCACCCCTCTCTGCTAGTAAGCCTTGGCCCAAAGGTGCTCAGCTTTCTCTCTCTGGGCTGGGAAGCCCACTGTGCCATCTACTGCCGGTCTTCTGGTTCTGCTGCTTCTGCTGCCGCAGCTTCTCTGCTGCTGCTTCTTGCCGTCTCCTCCCATCTCCGGGTCTCTCTCTCTCTGTCTCCTGCGTCTAGGAGATTTTCAGCACAAGGATCCTGGGTCCAAAGGATGTGCTCCACTGCTAGCTCTTTTTTCTTGGTGCTAGTGAGGTCCTCCCTGTCCGCCTCTGGGATGGCCCATTTTAAGCCTAGAGGGATGGCAAAACTGACCAATCTCCTTGTTAGGGTTCCACACACCTTATTTGCATGGTCCCACCTCCCACAAGGGTGCCATGCACCTTATTTGCATTATTAGCAAGCTCTCCAATCCCCTTGATGGTCCACAGCACCTTATTTGCATAGTTCCACCCAGTCATTTGGTGGGAGTTACAAGACCATGGCAAGAAACACCATATAAAAGCGATCCATTGCACCTCACCCTCTCTTGGCACACACTTGTCCAGGTAGATTTTTCACTTTTTGCCCTGAGGTTGTGCTTTCTCTCTCGCTGGCATGAGGCTGTCCCTATGTTGGCTCAAGCTTATCCTGGAGCATATGTGAGGGTGTCCAGACTCGGTGACAGGGGTATCTCTGGGTGGGAGCAACGTAATTCTTGTGGAAATAGAAGTGACTTTGTGTAAATTGGTGGATGAGGGTGACTGGGACAAGGCTGCTCTGGCTTGGGGACATGGTTTTCCTGGTTTGAACAAGAGCTTACGTGGTATGAGAATGAGGTCCATATGTTAAGTACCATACTGGGTGGCTTTAAACAACAGAATCTTACAGTTCTGGGGGTCAGATGTTGAAAATCAAGGAGTTGGCAGGACTATGCTCTCTCTGAAGGCTCTAGGGCAGGATCCTTCATTGTCTCTTCCAGCTTCTAGTGTTCCTGGTGATCCTTGGCATTCCTTGGCTTGTAGATGCACCACTCCAATTTCTGCCTCCGTCTTCATGGCCTACTCTGCTGTGTCTGTCCATATTTCTGTCTCCAAATTTCTCTCTTCTTATAAGGACACCTTTCATATTGGATTTATGGCCCACCCTTATTCAGTATGACCTCAATTACATCTGCAAAACCCTGTATTCAAATAAGGTTCCATTCACAGGCTGCCTTAAGTCTCCTAGTGCTTCTGTAACAGAAATACCACAAGTGGGTGGTTTTAATGAGCAGAATTTTATTTGTTCACAGTTTAGGAGGCTTAAAGTCTGAATTTAGGGTGCTGGCTCTAGGGGAAGGCTCTCTCTGTCCACTCTGGGGGAAAATCCTTGTCTCAGCTTCTGTAGTGTTATTCTCAGCATTCCTTGGTGATCTCCATGTGGCATCTATGTTTCCCGCATTTGTACTTGCTTGCTCCTGTGCCTCATCTGCTCTTTTTATATCTCAAAAGGGATGCTTACGACCCACCCTACACTGATATGGCCTCATTCACCCAACAAAGAAAACCCTATTCCCAAATGGGATTACATCCACAGGTGTACGGCTTAGTATTCCAACACATATTTTGGGGGGACACAATTCAATCCATAACACAGGTGGACATGAATTTTGGAGGAGACGCAATTCAACCCTTGCTCAAAGGTGTGGTTGTCCTCAATGGGGCAAGGTTGTACGTCCATGGGAGGCATTGGCCTGGAAGGGGGCTCGGCTGTCCTTATCCTGGTATGGCAAAGTTGCCTGTGTGCACCCCCTTAGGGCCCCTCTGCAATGTGGAAATCAACGAGTGCGCTTCCAGCCCCTGTGCCGAAGGAGGCTCCTGTGTGGATGGAGAAAACGGCTTTCGCTGCCTGTGCCCCCCGGGCTCCCTGCCCCCACTGTGCCTCCCGCCCAGCCACCCCTGTGCCCAAGAGCCCTGCAGTCACGGCGTCTGCCATGATGCGCCCGGCGGGTGAGGCCTCTCTCCAGCCCCCGACCCCTGACCGCCTCCTTGGCCCACCTGACACCCGAATACCTTCTGCCAGGTTCCGCTGCGTGTGTGAGCCTGGCTGGAGTGGCCCCAGGTGTGACCAAAGCCTTGCCCAGGATGCCTGTGACTCACAGCCCTGCAGGGCCGGTGGCACCTGCACCAGCGAGGGAGTGGGCTTCCGCTGCATCTGTCCCCCCGGCGTCCAGGGTGTGTGTCCGCCTTCCTTCCCCAAACCCCCATCTTTTCTTCCTTCTCTCTTCCTCGTCTTTGTTTGCCTCTTTTGTTCCTTTTCTCTTTCCTTTGAGGAACTTGAGGGGTGGGGATAAGAAGAGAGATGGGAGCATCTCATTCTGCTTGTCTCCCACAGGCCGCCAGTGTGAGCTGCCGTCTCCCTGCACCCCAAACCCCTGTGAGAATGGGGGCCACTGTGAGTCTGCCTCCAGCCAGCTGGCTGTCTGCTCCTGCCCCCCTGGCTGGCAAGGTATACCAGTTGCTTCTTCCTCCTCCTCTCTTTCACCTCCTGTGCACCCTGCCTGACATGGGGTGATGCTAGGGAACCAGAGAGGACTCACCCATCCCTGCCTTTGAGGGGGCTCCCTTTTGGCAAAGGATGGAGCTGGACACAGATACTGCCAGCCCATGTGGGCTGGAGAAGAGGAAGGGATACAGAGCTGGAAGAGCTATGATACTAGCTGAGGGTTTGGGGACAGCTTCCTGGAGGAGTGGAGTCCTCCGGGAAGGCCTTCACTGCAAACAGTGAAGGTGCTTAGCTGCTAACCAAAAGGCTGGCTGTTTGAGTCAACCCAGAGGTGCGTCAGAAGAAGGGCCTCGTGATCTACTTTTGAAAAATCAGCCATTGAAAACTCTATAGAGCACAGTTATACTCTGACACACAGGAGATCTCCATGAGTCGGAGTTGACTTGATGGCAACTGGTTGGAGTCCCTGGGTAATGCAAATGGTTACCATGCTCGGCTGCTAATCGAAAGGTTGGAGGTTCAAGTCCACCTAGAGGTGACTCGGAAGAAAGGCCTGACAATCTACTTCCAAAAAATCAGCCATTGAAAACCCTATGGAGCACAATTCTACTCTGACACACATGGGGCCACTGTGAGTTGGAGTCAACTAGACAGCAAATGGTTTTTTTTTTTTTTCCCCTGGAAGAGCAGATCTCCATCAGTGTATTCATTTCCTGCTCACTGATACAGGGAGTGGAAAGTTCCGAACCCCCAGGGTGAACAGCACCATGGCTTGTTCCTGCCTATTCCCAGCTCAGCCTTCAATTCTCCCTGAGCCCCAGGTACTCTCAGACCCTACCTAGCACCTCTAACCCTAGGTGTTACCTTATCCTTCCCCCCAACCAGGCCCACGATGTCAGCAGGATGTGGATGAGTGTGCAGGCTCCTCACCCTGTGGCCCCCATGGTACCTGTACCAACCTGGCAGGGACTTTCGGCTGCACCTGCCACGGGGGTTACGGAGGCCCTTCCTGCGATCAGGACATTGATGACTGCGACCCCAGTGAGTACAGGGGAGCTACTGGGGGGTGCTGACTGACCTAGGGGGCATGTTCCTCAAGCTTTTCCTATGTGCCTGACACTGAGGCCCAGAGAGGTTGAATGACTTGCCCAAAGTCACACAGAAAGGAAGGGGAAGACTCTTAAGCCTGCGTACTGCCTCTGGCCAAAAGCATGTTAGCACTGTGTGTAAAGTATGAGCTAGTAGGCCCCCAGAGAGTTCTTCAGTAGCACTGTTCCATAGACAAGTGACACCAGCCACACATGTACTTTTAAATTCGGAATCTTGGCAACACCATGTGTGCAGAGTAGAGCTGCACTCCAGAGTGTTTTCAAGGTTGTGACCTATCAGAAGTAGGTCACCAGGCTTTTCTTTGGAGGTACCTTTGTGCTGGTTTGAACCACCAACCTTTTGGTTAGTCTAGTGCTTAACCATCTGTGCCAACCAAGAACTCTACACAGGGTTTTCAGTGCCTGATTTTTCAGACGTAGATTGCCAGGCCTTTCTTATGAGACACCTCTGGGTGGACTTGAACCTCCAACTTTTCAGTTAGCAGCCAAGCATGTTAACTGTACCACCCAGGGACTTCTAAGGCCATGGAAGGGGACGGTTGAGCTACCTGACCAAATGCGGACCCTCCCAGTGGAGCCTGGTCTCCTCCTGAGTCCCCTTCTGTTCAAGTTAAGGCCGGGGAGAGGCTGGTCTGATGGGGGCCAAGGCAAGCGACCAGCCTGCTGCCCTTCCCACCTACAGACCCGTGCCTGAATGGCGGCTTGTGTCAGGATGGCGTGGGCTCCTTTTCCTGCTCCTGCCTCCCTGGCTTCGCTGGCCCACGCTGTGCCCGCGATGTGGACGAGTGTCTGAGCAGTCCCTGTGGCCCAGGCACCTGCACCGACCACGTGGCCTCCTTCACCTGCACCTGTCCTCCTGGCTACGGAGGCTTTCACTGTGAATGGGACTTGCCAGACTGCAGCCCCAGGTAGGTGGGGCCTGGGACAGGCCACTATTGGAGTTCAGGGACAGGGTGGGGCTTGGGAAGGAGCGGGGTCGGCAGAGGCAGGGGAGGGGGGGAACCTTGGTTTGGCCCCCGCCTTAGAGGCTGTATTAGGAGCCCTAGTGGCGCAGTAGTTAAAGCGCTCGGCAGCTAACCGGGAGGTTGTCAGTTCCAACCCCCCAGCCGCTCTGCGGGAGGAAGATGTAGCAGGTGCTTGCGTAAAGATTTACCCCCTTGGAAGCCCTATGCGGCAGTTCTACTCTGTCCTATAGGGTCCCTATGAGTCAACATCTGCTCAAAAGGCAGTGGGTTTTTGGTTGGATGCCTGACGGGGCTTGTCCAGGGAAGAGGCAGTGCATATTTGGGGGAGTCACCTTGAGGTCGGGGTCCAGGTCGGGACCTCCTTGTGGCTCCCACGTTAGCACTGAAATGCGTGATAAGTTGGGGCGGCTCTTGGGGGCAGGGGGAGAGGGAGGGGAGGTAAGAGAGAGGGCGGAGTCCCCACCCCTAGGAGAGGCCAAAGAGGGAGGGTGGGCCTGCTATGGCGGCGACTTCTCTAAGCAGTTCCAGCAGAAGGGGCGGGGCCTGTGAGGGGGCGGGGCCTGACCCACCCTTCCTCCCAGCTCCTGCTTCAACGGAGGTACCTGCATAGACGGAGTGACCTCGTTCAGCTGCCTGTGCCGCCCCGGCTACACAGGCGCCCACTGCCAACACCAGGTCGACCCCTGCCTGTCGCGGCCCTGCCTGAACGGGGGCGTCTGCAGCGCTGCCCACCCTGGCTTCCACTGCGCCTGCCCCCAGGGCTTCACTGGCAGCCAGTGCCAGGTGGGCAGGTCCCTGGGGGTCCTGGGGGAGGAAGCCTGCCTGAATGGGTGTTGTGGGGAGGTCGTAGTGAGGAGTTTGCCGGCACCCTGAGGGAGGGGTCTGGAGGGGTGTTATGGGGGAGTGGCCTGCAAGAGGCCCTGAGGAGGGGTCTGCAGAGAACCTGGGGGAGGAGTCCAGACAGGCGTTCTAGGGGAGGGGCCTGCCGGAAACCCTGGGGACGGAGCCTGCCTGGGTCTTGGCAGAGGAGTGGGGTGCGGTTTCTAGGGGGTGCGCCTAGTGATGACTTTCAGCCCACCCCCCTCCAGACGCTGGTAGACTGGTGCAGCCGTGTGCCCTGTCAGAACGGGGGTCGCTGTACCCAGACTGGGGCCTCCTTCTATTGCCTTTGCCCCTCGGGGTGGAGCGGCCGCCTCTGCGACATCCAGAGCCTGCCGTGCAGGGAAGCCGCAGCCCATATCGGTGAGGGAGAGCACGGGCTGGGGGGGGGCTGGGCTCAGGAGGATGCTGTGTGCACACACCTCCTGCCAGCGTGAGCTGATGGAGGTGCAACAATGCACATGGACGTATTGGGTGTGCGGCTGGGTGTGTGTCGGCTTGGAAGGTGTGTTTGTGACTGTGTGGCAGCCAGTGAAGATGTGTGTGTGGTGTGTGGGAAACTGTATGTGACTTAGTCTCATAGTGCTGTTGTAACAGAAATACCGCAAGTGGGGGGCTTTAAGGAACAGAAATTTATGTTCTCACAGTTCAGGAGGCTGGAAGTCCAAATTTAGGGCCCCAGTTTAGGGGAAGGCTCTCTCTCTGTTGGCTCTGAGGGAAGACCTCTTTCAGTTTCTGTAGCCCCGGCATTCCTTGGTTCCTTGGTGACCCCCACGTGGCATGGATCTTCCCCTCTGTGCTTACTTCTCTGTGCCTCATCTGTTCTATCTATATCTCAAAAGTGAGTAGGTTCAGGACCCACCCTACACTGATATGGCTGCATTAACATAAAAAGGAAAACCCTATTCCCAAATGTGATCACATCCACAGGAGTCCCTGGGTGGCATAAACAGTTAAGTGATCAACTACTAGCCCAGAGGTTGGCAATTTGAATCCACTCAAGAGGGGCCTTGGAAGACAGGCCTGGCCATCTGCTTCTGAAAAGATCACAGCCTTGAAAACCATGCAGAGCAGTTCTACTCTGCACACATGGGGTCGCCATGAGTCGGAGTCCACTTGGTGGCAACTAGCAACAGCCACATGTATAAACCAAACCAAACCCATTGCTGTCCAGTCAATTCTCACTCATGGCAACCCCATCCACAGCACTATGGGTTAGGATTCCAACACGTATTTTGAGGGGACGCAATTCAATTCATAACAGTGACCGAAGTGGTGTGAGCTGTGAGGACATGCGTGTGTGTGTATGAGTGCATGCATATGATTGAGGCCGTGCCAGCTGGGAGTGTGTGTGACAACCTGGGTGATGCCTTGGGTGATGCCCGTGGGAGGAGGGGAGGCATGTGTGGCTGCCTCTGTGCCTGATGCTGCCCTCCTCTGCCCAGGCGTACGGCCAGAGCAGCTGTGCCAGGCGGGCGGGCGGTGCGTGGACGAGGGCAGTGCCCACTACTGCTTGTGCCCAGAGGGCCGCACGGGCAGCCACTGTGACCAGGAGGTGGACCCCTGCCTGGCACAGCCCTGCCAGCATGGGGGCACCTGCCGTGGCTACATGGGGGGCTACATGTGTGAGGTAAGGGGCTCCTGGGAAGGGGGCAGAGGCCTTGTCATGCCTGCATGTGTCTGGATGTGGCCCTGTGTGAATGTGCCTCTCCCTGGGTATGTCTGGGTGTTTGCTTTTGTGACTCTGGGTATATTTTTGTGGGTCTCATTCTCTGGATGAAATTTCTGGGTGGTGTAAGTGGTGAACATGCTCGAAAGTTTGGAGGGTTGAGGCTACCCAGAGGCTCCTTGGAAGAAAGGCTTGGCAGTCTCCTTCCAGAAAATCAGCCATTGAAAACCCTGTGGAGCACATTTCTACTCTGACACACATGGGGTTGAATCAATGGCAACTGCATTTTTTTTTTAATTCTCTATGTAGGTCTGGGGTGTCTCTCTGTCCAGGGTAGCTCTGTCTTTGGTTGTTGCCTGGGTGTATTTATGCGTTTCTGCCCATGGTGTCTTTGGGTGTGTCTGCATGTGCCACCATCTTGGTGTGTATCTTGGCTGTTTCTCCTGTGTCTGTCTCTCTGTGTTTGCATGCCTGTCCCTCTGGGCTGGGTGTGTCTGTGTGTGTGTTCTGCACACTAGGCATTTTGTCGTGGGTTGGACGTTTGTGTGTGTCCTCTGTGCTGGCTTCTCTGTGTCCTCCTGGGGAGGGTTGGGTGTGTCTGTGTCTCTCCGGGTGAGTGGGTCTCTGCCTTGCCCTCACACCACAGTGCCCCGCTGGCTACACCGGTGACGACTGTGAGGATGATGTGGATGAGTGTTCCTCCCAGCCCTGCCAGCATGGGGGCTCCTGCATTGACCTGGTGGCCCGCTATCTCTGTTCCTGCCCCCCCGGGACGCTAGGTATGCCAGGGCCACCAGGGCCAGGGTTGGGGGACAGGATGGGAGGCTGGGACCCCATCACCCCTGACTGCTCCCCTCCCCCAGGCGTGCTCTGTGAGATCAATGAGGACGATTGTGGCCTAGGCCTGTCCCAGGAGCAAGGCCCCCTGTGTCTGCACAATGGCACCTGCGTGGACCTGGTGGGCGGCTTCCGCTGCACCTGCCCCCCGGGCTACACCGGCCTGCGCTGTGAGGCAGATATCAACGAGTGTCGCCCTGGCACCTGCCACTCAGCACACACACGGGACTGCCTGCAGGACCCAGGTGGGGGCTTCCATTGCCTTTGCCACGCAGGCTTCACAGGTAAGCTTGGGTGAGTGACTGGGCTAGGACCCCGCCTGTGGTTCCCCCGGTAGGGCTGATCCATCGCCCCCTACTTGCCCAGGTCTCCGCTGTCAGACGGTCCTGTCGCCCTGCGAGTCCCAGCCTTGCCAACATGGGGGCCAGTGCAGCCCGAGCTCGGGCCAGGGGGGTGCGCTGACCTTCATCTGCCACTGTGTTCCGGTAGGTGTGGGTGGCCGTGGGTGGGCCCTCACATGGGAGACAGAGCTTCTGGGAACAGGCCGTGGCCTCGAGAGAGGGCGTGCCTTTAGCGGGAGAGGAAGAAAGGGTGGAGCTTCCTGGGGAAAGGTTGTAATTACCTGGAGGGTGTAGGGGCGTGGCCTCCGGGAAAGGTAAGCTTATCTGCTAGGTGGGGCCTCCAGTGGAGGTGGAGGCGGCTGGGCGGGGCCTGCGGAGGTTGAGGAGTCAACCTCTCCCAAGTCCTGACTCCTAACCTTCCTCCTTTCTCCCTCCTCCCCCTTTATCTCTTCTACACTTCCATTTCTCTCCCTCCTTCCCCCTTCTCCTGCTTTCTGCCCTCCCCCACTTTTTCTTGTCTTCCTCCCCACCACCCCAGCCCTTCTGGGGCCCGCGGTGCGAGCGAGTGGCGCGCTCCTGTCGGGAGCTGCAGTGCCCAGTCGGCGTCCCGTGCCAGCAGACGGTCCGCGGGCCGCGCTGTGCCTGCCCCCCGGGGCTATCGGGGCCCTCCTGCCGGGGTTCGCGGGGGTCGCCGCCGGGGGCCACCAACGCCAGCTGCGCGGCCGCCCCCTGCCTGCACGGGGGTTCGTGTCGCCCCGCGCCGCTCGCGCCTTTCTTCCTCTGCTCGTGCGCGCCAGGCTGGGCCGGGCAGCGCTGCGAGGCGCCCGCTGAGCTCCCCGAGGCGCCCGAGGAGCCGCGGTGCCCCCTTGCGGCTTGCCGCACCAAGCGCGGGGACCGCCGCTGCGACCGCGAGTGCAACAGCCCGGGCTGCGGCTGGGACGGCGGCGACTGCTCGCTGAGCGTGGGCGATCCCTGGCGGCAGTGCGCGGCGCTGCAGTGCTGGCGCCTCTTCAACAACAGCCGCTGTGACCCCGCTTGTAGCTCGCCCGCCTGCCTCTATGACAACTTCGACTGCCACACCGGCGGCGGCCGTGAGCGCACCTGCAAGTGAGTCCGTCCGTGCGTCCGTCTGTCTGTCCGCCCTGCCGTGCGTCTGGGCCCTGTCTGTCCGTGGGTCCCACCTCTCCGCTAGTGTGCCCACTCTATCCATCCTTTTTGCCCCAGTTTCTTCATCCATTCGCCCAGTCTGTCTGTGTGCCACCTCTGACCACCTCTCTGTCCATCTGTCCCTCCATTCGCCCCAGTTTGTCCATCAACTTCCCCTGCCTGTCCATGTGTTGCCCAGTCTGTCCACCTGCTCATCATGTCTGTCCTGTCCATTTGCCACATCTCACCACCCATGGGTCTTGCCTCTCTGTACATCTGTTTATCCACTCATTCTATCTCTCTATCCATTTGCCCAGTCTATCTGTCCGTGTGCCACATCTGACAATCTTTGACCCCACCTCTGTCCATCTGTCCCTTCATTCACCCCAATCTGTCTGTTGATTTGCCCTGTTTCGCCTCAGTCTGTCCATCTGCTTGCCCTATCTGTGTTTCTGTGCCTCCACCCATTCGCCCAGTCTATCTGTCCATGTGCCATATCTGACCATCTGTAGCCCTGCCTCTCTGTCCGTCTGCCTATCCATGAGCCCTGTTTGTACATCTCTGTGCCCTGCCTGTCTGTTTTTCTGTCCTGTGCACTCCATCTTTCCCACCATATGCCCTGTTAGTCCATCCTTTTGTCCATCCCCACTGGCCCCTCTGTGCACCTGTCTGCACTGTTGTTTGTCCATCCTTGGACCTCACTTGTCCATCTGTCTAGATGCCAGTCTGTCTGTCTGTGTACCCCATCCGTCTGTCCATCACTGTGTCCCACCTGACCATCTGTGTGCCCTTCTGGCTGTCCTTCTGTCCATCCATGCACCCCTGTGGCTCCTCTGTGTGTCTTTCTGTCCATGCCCCTGCCTGTCCATCCCTGCACCTCTTCTATCCCTTTGTTTGTCTGTCCGTGATTCCCATCTGTCCTTTTTTTCACCCTCGCATGCCATCTGTTCGTTCCTGCACACACCCCCTGCCCCATGTCTGTTGTCCGCATGGAGCTGTACCTCACCTTTACCTCCCACCCTCATTTCCCCCTGCTTGCCCCCTTGCTCCCTCTGCTCCGGCCACTCTGACCCCTCTCTGCTGTCCCTCAGATTCCCCAGGCTTGGTGCCACCCCAGGGCCTTTGCACTGGTTGTTCCCCCTGCCTGGACTGCTCCCCGTCACCTCCTTCAGATCTCCCCCAGCCCTTCCCCTGCTTTATTTTTTTTTTTTTAGTAGCATGTAATTCTATCCAGCATACTCTATGTGTGTGTGTTGTTGCTGTTGTTAGTTGTGGTCAAGTTGATTCTGACTCCTGGAAACTCCATGAGTTCAGAGTAGAACTCACTGCTCCATAGGGTTTTCAAGGCTGTGTGACCCTTCGGAGGCAGATCACCTGGTCTGTCTTCGAGGTGCGTCTGGATGGATTTGAACTGCCAAGCTTTTGGCTAGTTATATTTTTGCTTTTATTGATGTGTAATTGGAATGCTGTATATTCTGCTTACTCATCTCTAAAGTCTGTCTCAACCCACTGGAATGTCTCTCCACATGGGCGAGGATTTGTGGCTGGGCCATATCCTTGGTGCCCACAGTAGTAGTAAATTATTTATTTATTAATAGTTATTGAAGGAATGGAGTCCCTGGGTGGTACAAATGGTTAAAATGCTTGGCTACCAGCCAAAAAGTTGGCCGTTTGAATCCACCAAGAGACGGCTCGGAAGAAAGGCTGGCTATCTGCTTCTGAAAGGTCACAGTCTTGAAAACCCTGTGGGGCACAGTTCTACTTTGCACACATGGGGTTTCCGGGAGTTGGAATTGACTGGATGGGCAACTAGTATGGCATGGTATTGAGCTAATAGCTGGATTTGTGGAAAGTCTGACATGGGCTGGAACATTCGGGCCTCCCGTGCACATGCTGTATCCTTCTGGAGACCCCCTGACCACCTCCTCTGCCCCTCAGCCCCGTGTACGAGAAGTACTGCGCAGACCACTTTGCCGACGGCCGCTGCGACCAGGGCTGCAACACGGAGGAATGCGGCTGGGACGGGCTGGACTGCGCGGTGGAGGTGCCGGCGCTGCTGGCGCGCGGGGTGCTGGTGCTCACCGTGCTGCTGCCGCCTGATGAGCTGCTGCGCTCCAGCGCCGACTTCCTGCAGCGGCTCAGCGCCATTCTGCGCACCTCGCTGCGCTTCCGCCTGGACGGGAATGGCCAGGCCATGGTCTTCCCTTACCACCGGCCCAGCCCTGCGCCCCGCACCCGGCGGGAGCTGGTCCCTGAAGTGATCGGGTGAGTGATTCGGTCCACCTCGCTGACGTTCCTTACCGCCCATGACCTCACCCACACTGCCCATGACTCCTCCCACTCTGACTCCGCCCCCACATGTGATTCCACCTATCCCACCCGTGAATTCAGCCGAACCCCTCTGCCGGGGGAGCCACAGGACCTTGGTGCGGGGCTCTGAGCAGGGGAGGGACACTTTGGATCCACGTCTCTATGCGCTTTTTACTTCACGTCTTGTAATGGAGTCCCCGGGTCGTGCAAACGATTCACATGTTGGCTACTAACCCAGACGTTGGTGGTTTGAGTCCATCGAGAGGTGCCTGGGAAGAAAGGCCAGGCAATCTACTTCCTAAAGATCACGGCCATTGAAAACCTGTGGAGCACAATTCTACTCTGAGTCCCATGAGTCAGAGGGCAACAGTTTTTAAAAACTTGGATATGATCTAATTAACATAACAAAGAAAACCCTATTTTCAAACAGGATTACTTACACGAATTAGGATTCCAACACATATTTTGGGGGGACACAATTTAATCTATAACACACAGGGAGCTCTGGAGTGTGAACAGCACCCCAGAGCTGGTTCCACCTTGAGGCAAGAGTCCTTTGTACCCCATGTCAGTACATTGCTGGCTGTGGGCTGCCCTAGGCTGTTACCTCCCAAGTGGCCACCATTTTGCTGAGGACAGTTCTCTGGAGAAGGGGCAGCTGTGAGCTGTTAGAAGCCAACTCTCACAGCAGCTGGGAGATAGGTGCCCAAGCCCAGTAAGGGGGATCCAGGCCCACACCAACAGCACCCACTGTGCTGCGTGAGGAACGTTTCTGAGATGTTGACCTGAAAAAATGTCCATTGGATTCAGTGGCTCAGGGGACACTAGTGGCCACAGCAAGACCTGTTTGGGGGGCTCGTGAAGTGAAGGCCAGATGGGCCATGGAGGCCTGATGAGTGGAGACAGCTCTCTGAGGCTGGAGCAGGGCGGGAGGATGGCACTGTGCTGCCTATCCCTCCTGTTAAATAAAGCACAAAGAAAGCATACAGGGTTTATTCCAGCAGTTACTCTATAAGCATAAAGGGAGACCGTTCTGTTTCTCCAAAACCAAATGGCTCAATGCAGGCTAGTCACAGTGAGGCTTTTAAGGAGAAGAGGAGGAAAGAGAATAATCTTGTCGTTGTCGTTAATTGCTGTCGAGTCAATTGCAACTCACGGTGACCCTGTGTTTGCAAAGTAGAACTGCTAGATAAGGTTTTCAAGGTCGTGGCCTTTCGGAAGCAGATCGCCAGGCCTGTCTTCCAAGGTGCCTCTGGGTGGGTTTGAACAGCCAATCTTTCGGCTAAGAGTCGAGCGCTTAACCTTTTGTACCACCCAGGGACTCCCTATCCACAGGTGTAGGGGTTAGGATTTACAACACATATTTTTTGGGGACACAGTTCAATCTCTAGCAGTTAGCATATGTCTTATCATAAAGGAGGTTTGCGAAAGCTTAAGCACTATGTCTAGGGGTCCCTGGGTGCTGCAAATGGTTAAGTGCTTAACTACTAGTTGAAATGTAGGTGATTCAAACCCACCCAAAGACTCCTCAGAAGACAGGCCTGGTGATCTGCTTCTGAAAGATCACAGTCTCGAAAACCCTACTGAGCAGTTCTACTCTGCACATGCGGGGTCACCATGAGTCGGAATCGACTTGATGGCAAGTAATGACAACAACATGGTTAACATATGTCTTATGACAAAGGGGGTTTGTGAAGTCTTGATCACTGTGTGAATCTGGGCCTCCTGTCCGTCCATCCATCCTGCAGCTCTGTGGTCATGCTGGAGATTGACAACCGGCTGTGCCTGCAGTCGCCCGAGAATGACCACTGCTTCCCTGATGCCCAGAGCGCGGCTGACTACCTGGGCGCCCTGTCGGCGGTGGAGCGCCTGGACTTCCCGTACCCGTTGCGGGCTGTGAGGGGTGAGGCCATGCCCCAGGGTAATGCAGGGCAGCTGGCGGTTGGGGTGGGGTGCCCTGCTGGTGCTGAAACCCTGCTTCTTCCTGCAGCGGAACCGCTGGAGCTGCCGGAGCCGAGTGTGCCACTGCTGCCGCTGCTGGCTGCGGGCGCCGTCTTCTTGCTAGTCATCCTCGTCCTGGGTGTCATGGTGGCCCGGCGCAAGCGTGAGCACAGCACCCTGTGGTTCCCTGAGGGCTTCGCGCTGCACAAGGACACAGCTGCAGGCCACAAGGGCCGGCGGGAGCCCGTGGGCCAGGATGCACTGGGCATGAAGTGAGGACACTGCCTGCTCCCACCTTGAACTAACTCTGACTTCTGACCCCGGCCTGACCCTAGCTTCAGACTCTACCCCGGACACCAATGTTTATCCCCCTTGACCACCTACTCTATGATCCCTGGCCCTATTTCCCATGTCCCAGTCCTCCTGACTCCACACTATGCCTGCCACTCAGCGTGTGTTCCCACGTGACTGCTGACCTTATGGTCTCTGTACCCCTGGCCCTAGTCTCCATGACCCCCAATCTCACCTCTGACTCCAACTCTCCCTGACCTTTGACCCCACCTTTTACTCCATGCCGTGGCCCTCTATCCCAGCCTTGACCCTGGGCCTCACCTTTGATTCCCTGACATGTCTCCCAAGATGCCTAACCCCACCTTGGCCTGACCTCACCGTGACTCCTGAATTTATCCCTGATCTCTGACCCTATGACCACTGACCCTTCACCATAACCTCCTTCATCCTGGCTACATCTCCCACCCATTATGAGGTCATCCCCTGTAACCCTGCTGTATCCCCTGTGACCCCTCACTTATCCTGTAACCCACTCTGATCCCTGACCCACTTCTCTCCCTCTGATTCCACCTTAGGACCCAGCCATCACCCGTCCTAACTGCTGACTCTCAACTGCCCTTTTTCTGATTTCATCTTAGTCCCCTAGTTATCACTTGTCATAATCCCTGACCCCACAATAGTCCCTCCCTTGATTCCACCTTTGGACCTGGCTGTCACTGTCATAACCCCTGACTGTGCACCCTGCAACCCTGACCCCATCCTGTACCCCCTCATGGAACCCTGTCTCAACCCTGTCCCCTGCCCCTGTGTTTACTGACCCAAGACCCTGGATCCCATTCCAGATACCTGACCTCTGCCCTGACTCCACCCCCAAAATCCCCCTCCCAGTTGGCACGTCTCCAGTGTCCCCTTTCACATCTGCCCTTTGCACTGTCCCCACAGGAACATGGCCAAGGGTGACAGTCTGATGGGGGAGGTGGCCTCAGAATGGATGGACACCGAGTGCCCGGAGACCAAGCGACTGAAGGTGCTGCCCCTGCTCCGTCTCCTGCAGGGCCCTCGGTGGGGACCCAGGGGAGGCTCTGCTCTCCCACTGCCCCACCTCCCAGGCTCCGGCGGGATGTTCATGGTTTCTCAGGGCCCTGGTTTCAGTGAGAGAAACCCTGAACCTCTCCCACTGCCCCACCTCCCAGGATCCTGTGTCCAGTCCTGCCCTTACTGGTGTCTGTGCCTGCCTCCAAAGGGTGGGGTCTGAGGACCTGGGGTCCTTGTACCTCCAGGTAGAGGAGCCCAGCGTGGGGGCCGAGGATGCTGTGGACTGCCGCCAGTGGACTCAACACCACCTGGTTGCTGCTGACATCCGCATGGCACCAGCCATGGCATTGACACCACCACAGGGCGATGTGGATGCTGATGGCATGGATGTCAATGTGCGAGGACCAGGTCAGTGATGGCGCCCCCCGCCCCCACCCCCGTCCTGTTCGTGAAAGGTTACATCTGGGTCTGTGTTCTGGGGAGAACTAGTCTGTATCCAGGCTTCTGTGGATATGGGTGCTAATCAAGAATCTTGGTTGTAAGTCACAAAAACCCAACTCACACTAGCTTAAGTGAAAAAAAAAAGAATTTACAGGTTTACGGAACTGGAGGCATTAGGCACATCTGGATCCAGGACTCAGTCTACCTCTCCCCACCTCTCGGCTCAGTTTCTGGCCAGCTGTGGTGGCTCTAACCCAAGCCAGCTTTCTCCTGGAGATAGCAAGATGGCCACCAGTCAAGCCAACGCTTTCCGAACTGCTCCAGCAGAAGTCCCAGGATGAGTTCTGATTGGACAGACTAGGGTCACATGCCCATCCCTGAGCCAGGGGGCTAGAATATGCAGATCAGCTGGGCCAGGGCCACATACTTGTCCTTGGCTCTACCCAGGGCTTGAGGATGGAGAATGTGGTGCATGTGGCTCCCTAAGGAGACCAGAGTAAATATTCGTGCCGAGTGTAGACGACCATGCCGTCCAGATCCTCTTGGGTTTGTCTTTACCACATTTTAGGGTATTCCTATCCCAGCTTCATTTTGCTTTTTGCACCTGCGATTCTTTTTAGAAGTCTCTCAGGCTCCAGGAGCCTGAAGTGCCTGGGAGTTTACGTCCCTGGGGGCGGCGTTTAACAAGAGGGTGCAGAGTATGAAAGGCACAGCTTCTTCACCTTGGTACAACTGTCCAGAGTCCCCCTGTGGGATCAGGCTGATGTAGCTCCCTGGGAGTTTGCCTGAAGTTGCACCCTTGCTTGGCTCCTCCCTCCCTAGTCCTGTATCCCCTACTCCCTAGGAGCCCTTCTGTGACAAATCACATGCCCAGGAATTCTCATCCTGGGTTGGCTCTGGGACGCCTGACACAGGTGTGTGCAGATGGGAGAAATTGCCACTCTGTTGCATGCCCACCTGTCCCACTTCCTCCTAATACAGAGCCGTGATAGTATTCCCTGGAGAGACCTCTGTGCCTGCCTCCCTCATGATGCACTCCTGATCCCCACAGATGGCTTCACCCCGCTAATGCTGGCCTCCTTCTGTGGGGGGGCCCTGGAGCCGATGCCGGCTGAGGATGATGAGGCTGATGACACGTCGGCTAGCATCATCTCGGACCTGATCTGCCAGGGTGCCCAGCTTGGGGCACAGACTGACCGCACTGGCGAGACTGCCCTGCACCTGGCCGCCCGCTACGCCCGGGCCGATGCAGCCAAGCGGCTGCTGGATGCTGGGGCAGACACCAATGCCCAGGACCACTCAGGCCGCACCCCCCTGCACACGGCTGTCACTGCCGATGCCCAGGGTGTCTTCCAGGTGAGACAGGCATGCCTTCTTGAACTTCAGGGCTGGGGAGGGCGTCAGACCGACCTGGGTTTGAGCCCTGGCTCTGCCTGTCAGTAATTGAGTTATTCTTATTGATCTCATTCTCATTTATGAAATGGGGATATACAGGAATACAGTCAGTCTGTTCCCTGAACCTCATTGATTCCAGGGCATGTTGAGACTGGTGATGTTAGGGGCTTTGGAGTCCTTCTGACTCCCCTATTTCTGCTCTGACTCCCCCTGCTGCATTGTCCCCTCCCCCATCAGATTCTCATCCGGAACCGATCCACAGACCTGGATGCCCGCATGGCAGACGGCTCGACGGCACTGATTCTGGCAGCCCGCCTGGCAGTAGAGGGCATGGTGGAAGAGCTCATTGCCAGCCATGCGGATGTTAATGCTGTAGATGAGCTCGGTAGGTGGACAGGGGTGGTGGTGGGTAGGGGCTCAGAGGGTGCCACCTGAGCCCTGGCTGTTATGTTTGTGTGAACTTACACCCACATGTAGACTCACTCATTGAAGCTCGTGCACACATAACTAGGCTGTAATGTGGACATCCACTCCCATGCAGGGTGGCCGCTAGCCCATACAGTGCTTCTGCAGTTTAGAAAAAGGCGCTTTTTCCCAAGACACTTGCCGTCTGCTTTGTTAGAGCAACTCACTCTACTGCCCTCTGCTGGGAAGCTGTGGTAATGCACGTGCAGATTTGCCCAATCTACAGTACCAGGCAGTCCCTGGGTGGTGCAAACGGTTAATGCACTCAGCTGCTAACCAAAAGGTTGGAGGTTTGAGTCCACCCAGAGGTTCAGTCAGCCACTGAAAATCCTATGGAGCACAGTTCTACTCTGACACACATGGGGTTGCCACGAGTAAGAATCGACTTGATGACAACTGGTTTATAGGACTGGGCAGCATTTTGTTCTGTCGTGCATAGAGTGGCTGTGAGTCATGGGACGACTCAATGGCAGCTAACAACAGGAACACACTGCGAGGCACCTCTGTGGAGGCAGCTCGCTTTCACCTGTGCAGATTCACCGCAAGCTGCCCTCCAGGGGACCGCACACAGCAGTAGACATGCTGAGACACTCCCAAGTTCTATGGAGCAGGGTTTTCCGCCTCGGCACTGCTGACATTTGGGGCCAGATCATACTTTGTGATGGGAGCTGTCCTGGGCACGTAGGGTGTTGAGCAGCATCTCTGGCCTTGACCCACTCAATGCCAGTAACACTGTTCCCCCAGGGGTGATGACCACAAACGTCTGCAGACACTGCCCTTTGCCCAGCGAGGGGGTAAGATCGCCCCCAGTTGAGAACCACGGTCCTCCTAGCGGCACTGTCTGGTACAACTTTCTGCAAGGATGGAAGTGTTTAGTCTGTGTCGTCTTAATGTCTTAGGTCACTAGCAACATGTGGAGACTATCAAGCACTGGAAATGTGACTGGGTGGCAGAATAACTGAATTGTTAATTGTATTTTATTTTAATTAATTTGAATTTTAAACCCCACATGTGACTGGTGGCTACTGTATTGGATGGCACAGCTCCGGGCACACCCAGGGTATTAGAGTCAAGTGTACAGGTGTGCACACGCACACACACACACACACACACACACAGTCCCCTGTGTACCAAGAGTCAGAAGTCTACAGGTGCGTACATGTGCACACAGTCTCCCGTGTACTAGGATTCAGGTCTACAGGTGTGCACGTGTAGGCACATTCCCCCGTGTACTGTAGTCAGATATACAGGTGTGCATACACACACAGTCCCCCATGTACTGGGAGTCAGGTCTATAGATGTGTATACGCACACACAGTCCCTCCCCCTATGTTCAGAGTTATTCCACAGGTGTGCACATGCATGCATACTACCCCATGTACAGAGAGCCACTTGACAGGTGTGCACACACGCATACCCAGACACAGGTGCCTACGCTGCCTACTCGTGACCATCCTGCCCCCAGCCCCCTCCAGGCCACGTTCTGGGCACTTCCTGCACCCCGCCCCCTGCCACAGGGGCAGGGACATGAGCCAGGTCCTGACCCTGTCCTTTCCTCTCCGTGCAGGGAAATCAGCCTTACACTGGGCTGCTGCTGTCAACAACGTGGAGGCCACCTTGGCCCTGCTAAAAAATGGAGCCAACAAGGACATGCAGGACAGCAAGGTGAGCCTGGGCTTCAGCCCGCCTAGGGGCCAGCACCTGCACAGCCCCTGCAGGTGGCAGAGAGCAGGGTGGGGTAGGCCAGTAGAGGTATTCGCTCTGCCTGAGGCCAGCTTTCAGGGTGAGATTTGGGGCCAAGAAGCTATGACACATGAGCAGAGGAGGAAGTCTGGCCATTGCTGTGTGACACTGGGCAGGTTAACTAACTTCTCTGAATCTCAGTTTTCTTACCTGTGAAGTGGGGAAGCAAAAGTATCCACCTCATGGCATGTTCTGAGGACTCGGTGAGCTAAAGCGTTTGTAAAGTGCTTTAGCGGCTCCTTGATAAAAGTTAACTGTTATGATCATGGCAAGGTCCCTGGGTGGCACAAACGGTTTGCGTTCAACTACTAACCTAAAGGTTGGCAGTTTGAACCCTCCCAGTGGCACTGTGGAAGAAAGGCCTGGTGATCTGCTTCCATAAAGATCACAGCCAAGAAACCCCTGTGGAACAGTTCTAATCTGTAACACATGGGGTTGCCGTGAGTTGGAGTTCATGGCAACAGGTTTGGGTTTTTTTGGTTTTTATGGTAACTGGTTTACTGGTTATGATCATGGTTTACAAACCCTTCTAAGGTGGTTTTAATTCTCCTCATTTTACAGATGGGAAGGGTGAGGCTCAGAGGGGACAGGATCAGATCCTGTCCTTATTTAAAATTCTGATTTTTTGTTCATCATGGATTTTTTTGTATTAATCTTCATTTTTTTTAATATTATTTAATTTTGATGACTGAAGTTTTTGGCGGCCCCCTGGACTTCGTGGTCCCTGGGTGGTGCAAATGGTTTGCATTGGTTGGTGGTTCGAACCCACGCCGTGGTGCCCCGGAAGAAAGGCCTGCTCTAAGATCATATCCAAGAAAACCCTATTGAGCAGTTCTACTCTGTAACACGTGGGGTTGCCATGAGTTAGAATCGACTCAACGGCAGCAGGTTTGGTTTTTTTTGGACTTAGTGCCTGAGGTTAAGTGCCTTGCTTGCCTCACCGTAGCTCTGGCCCTGGGGCTCCATAGATGTGGCATAAAGGAATGAACTTGCCCGGGTTCTCCTAACAGAGTCAGGATTTGAACCCAGGTCTTTCAGGCTTGAGAGTACGAACTCTTAGCTCTCAGGCCCCACCAGAGGAGGAGACTCGGCGGAGCGTGGCCAGGAGTTAGAGTGTGGCTCTCATGGCCCTGATGCCTGTGGGTTCTGGCCCCCCAGGAGGAGACGCCTCTGTTCCTGGCTGCCCGTGAGGGCAGCTTCGAGGCTGCCAAGCTGCTGCTGGACCATTTCGCCAACCGCGAGATCACAGACCACCTGGACCGGCTGCCACGAGACGTGGCCCAGGAGCGGCTGCACCAGGACATCGTGCGGCTGCTGGACCAGCCCAGCGGGCCCCGCAGTCCTCCCGGCCCCCATGGCCTGGGTCCCCTGCTCTGCCCGCCTGGAGCCTTCCTCCCAGGCCTCAAGGCAGCACCATCAGGGGGCAAGAAGAGCCGGAGACCCCCTGGAAAGGCAGGGCTGGTGCCACAGGGGACCCGGGGACGGGGCAAGAAGCTGACGCTGGCCTGCCCAGGGCCACTGGCAGACAGCTCCGTCACCCTCTCGCCTGTGGACTCACTGGACTCCCCGCGGCCCTTTGGGGGGCCTCCTGCCTCCCCTGGTGGCTTCTCCCTTGAGGGGCCCTATGTAGCTGCCACTGCCACAGCGGTGTCTCTGGCACAGCTTGGGGGTGCCGGGCGGGTGGGTCTAGGGCGCCAGCCACCGGGGGGCTGCGTGCTCAGCCTGGGTCTCCTGAACCCTGTGGCGGTGCCCCTTGACTGGGCCCGCTTGCCCCCACCGGCCCCACCGGGCCCCTCCTTCCTGCTCCCCCTGGCCCCGGGTCCTCAGCTGCTGAACCCTGGGACCCCTGTCTCCCCCCAGGAGCGGCCCCCACCATATCTTGCTGCCCTGGGACATAGTGAGGAATATGCGGCAGCTGGGCCCCACAGCAGCCCACGCAAAGCCCACTTCCTGCGGGTCCCCAGTGAGCACCCTTACCTGACCCCCTCCCCTGAGTCCCCGGAGCACTGGGCCAGCCCATCGCCGCCCTCCCTCTCGGACTGGTCCGACTCCACACCCAGCCCGGCTACAGCTTCTGGTGCCACGGCCGCAGGGACACTACCTGCCCAGACCCTCTCCCTGACTGTCCCTGGCCCCCTCACCCAGACTCAGACCCAGGTGGGGTCCCACCCCGAGGTTCCCCCCAAGAGGCAGGTGTTGGCCTGAGACCCTTCTCAGTGCCTGGATCTAGGGGGGCTTCAAGACACCCTATCCTGGCCTCTCCCTCTTTTCTATTTAGTCTTTTTCATTCTCTTCTCTTTCCACCAAGACAGGCCACCGGCCCAGGGCCTCAGTCTTCCTTTATTTATAACGAGTGGGGGCTGACTGCCCCACCTTCTCACTCTTGGGATGAGTTTGGGACCTCCTGTTGTCCCCTTCTTTCTCTTTCCTTCCTCCCTCCTCTGGCCTCTCGCTTCTCACGCTCTTACATGAGTGGATTATTATTTTCTTTCTTTTTTTTTATGTTTTGTATAGAAAACAAATTCATTTAAACAAACTTATTATTATTATTATTTTTTACAAAATATATATATGGAGATACTCCCTCCTCCCCATGAACCCCCAGTGCCCCCGTGGGGCTGAGTCTGTGGGCCCATTTGGCCAAGCTGGATTCTGTGTACTCAGTGCACAGGCAAACTGGGATCCCGTGTACCAAGTACATGGCCCTGGTATGTACCAAGTAGGCACCCTTGGGCACGCCCTCTGGGGCCAGGGGTCAGGCGAGACTTAGGAGACTCCTTCCCCACCCCTCTCCCTCACTTCACTGCATTCCAGATGTGATTTGCTCTGTAACTTGATGGGGGAAGGGCCATTCTGACCTGTGGAACCCATTCCCAGAGCCCTGCTGCCCCCTGGGCCACCTACCATTGGGTACTGGGGGTGGCTAGTGAGAACTTGGGGACCAGGGGAGAAGCGTGCGTTTCACTTTGCCTCCCTGTAACTATGGGACTGCAGGGAGGGAAAGAGCTGCCTAGGTGGAGACCCCTCCTCCTGGTGCTCCCCTGGCCCAGCTCTATGGCAGAATAGAAATATTTTTAGGCTATTTTTGTAATATGGCTTCTGATCACAACCCTTGTGTAGCTGAATACCAGCCCCTGCATTGTACAGCCCCCTACTCCCCTCACCACCTAATAAAGGAATAGTTAACACTCAGTGTAGTTGGTCTGTGTCTAGGCGATGTGGGGAGTGATGGTGGTGGGGACTTTTCTGTCTTCCCCCACCCCCAGACCTAAACTGAGCTTGCATCTTGGGGTAAACCCACTGGGCTTGACTGCCCACTCATGCATTCTCTTTTGGCAGAGGCTGCCACTGACTGGCTCAAAGGTGGTCACCTGACTTAAGATGAGCCAATCAGATTCCCTCACTTGAGAACTTTAATTCATGCTAAGGTCATCTGTTGGTGGAGCTTTTAAGGCCACGGGCAGATTAAGAACTATGAATGGCCATTTTGGGGCCTTTACCAGTGTGAGTAAACAGTAGGAGAATGGAGCTAATATGCAGGGAAAATCAGAGATGGGAGCTCATATGGTCTTAGCAGGCTGGAGGAAGTATCATGTCCAGTTAATTGAGCATTCATTCCATCAACAACAACAGGTGTTTACTGATTGCTTCCTAAGTTCCTGAAGCTGGTTCTGCATCAGTCTCACCTGGGGTAACCTTGTACCCATGTAATAAATACTCCTTTATGGATGCCAGCATCCTTTACATATTCCAGTCTTAGTTTCTTAGGTCTGCCATAACGAAATACCACAAAGTGGGTGACTTTAAAGAACAGAAATTGATTGTCTCACAATTTTGGAGGCTAGAAGTTCTAATCAGGATATCAGCTATGTCAATTCCTTCTGAGGGCTCAGACAGAAACTTCCATGCTTCTCCTTGCTGTTGGCAATCCTTGGCATTCTTTTGCTACTTATAGATGCATCTTCACATGGTATCTACCCCTTTATGTGATTCTGTCTTTGTATTCGTTCTCCACTTTTATAAAACACCACTCAGAAAGGATTAGGATTAGTACTCACCCTACTCCAGTATGACTTCGTTTAATTTAAATGATAACATCTTCAAAGAAAGCCCTATTTTCCCAGACAAGGTCACATTCACAGGTACTGGCGTTAAGACTTCAACATATTTTTGAAGGACACAATTCAATCCATAACAGATAGGTTTCTGTTTCTTGCAACCAATTGTGCCCCAAGACAAGGTTATCTTTACTATGAGACCCTCCAGGAAAGGAGGCGGGATTTAATCTCCATTGATTCACCTATGAGTTGAAATGCTGTTGGTTGCAAGTGGCAAGTCAACTCGACTGACTTAAAAAAAGGAGATTAATTAGCTCATAAAACTAAAAAGGACTACCTTCAGGAGAGATTTGATCTAGTGGCTCAGATGAGGTCAAGAAGGACTAAGTTTGTCTTCTCTACAGCTTTTCTCTGGGGTTCAGTTTCAGCCTCAGGCTCTATGTTGTACCCAACCCAATCTCTCTTCCCCACCTATACAACTCCAACCCTCCCTCTGTGTTAGCAAAATATGTGAAAAGGTCATAGACTTCACATCTCCACAGTGTACTTTCTAGGGAAGAGAGAACCTTCTAGCACTTTTGTAGGAATCTTGGGATTGATTTTCTATTGACTCCAATTGGGTTGTGTTGTTATTAGTTGCCATCAAGTCAGCTCTGACTCATGGTAACCTTATGTATAACAAAATGGAAAGTTGCCCAGTCCTGTGCCATCTTCGTGATCACTAGTATGAGTCCATTGGGTCATGTACCCATCCTCTAACACAGAGTTTCTCCACCTCAACACTATTGATATTTAGAACCAGATCATTCTCTGCTGTGGGAGCTGTCCTGTGCATTGTGGGGTGTTTACCAGCATCCTTGCTTCTACCCACTAGGCGCCAACACACACACTCATTGTGACAACCAAAAATGTCTCCAGACATTGCCAGCTTCTCCTGGGGGACAAATCGTCTCAGTTGAGAACCACTGCTCTAACCAATCACCATGGCCATGGGCTATGGAATACACTGACATAGCAATCACTCCCTACTCTGGAACTGGGGCTGGGGTAGATTTGGGGGCAACCAGGTTGGCAGAGCATGAATGCTAAAAAAAGCAACAAATAAATGTTCACTACATTCCCTCTCCTTTGGCTGTCTTTGAAGATGGGAAGCTTCTTTTATTGTTCCAAGTTTATTTTATGTTCATTCATACTTCCTACACATTTATTGGGCACTTACTGTGTACATCATGCTTGGTAAAGTAGAGGGCCAGTGAAAAAGAGGAAGACACTCAAAGAGATGGGTTGACACAATGACTGCAACAATGGGCTCAAACATAGCAACCATTGTGAGGATGGTGCAGGATCGGACAGTGTTTCATTCTGTTGCACATGGGGTTGTTCTGAGTTGGAACCAACTCAACGGCATCTAACAACAACGCGATGTACCAGGTCCTGAACAAGTTGTTGGGAGAAGAATGGTGAATTATATAGGTCCAGTCCCAGCTCTTATGAAATTTCAGACCAATTAGGGGGTGTATAGAAGGTGCCCCCCACAGTCCCTTGGAACTCACCATTCCGGTACATGCTGACAGCATCTGATATCTGCAGCTCTCCACCTGGGGACTTTCTTTTGTGTGGGGCAGGAACATCCTTTAACAAATCAATCAATCAATCTATCATCAATCTACCTATCTACCTACCTACCTACCTCTATCTGTCTGTATCCAGCCATCCATCCATCCACCCACCCACCTACCCACCCTCCCACCCATCCATCCATCCATCTCTACCGTCTATCTATATCTATCATTTCTGTATCTATATCTACCTAGCTAGCTACCTATCTATATCTACCTATGTATCTATCTATGTATGTATATCTCAAGGATTCCTGGTGGTGCAGTGGTTAAGCACTCACCTGCCAACCGAAAGTTTGGTGGTTTGAACCCATCAGCTGCTCTGCAGGAGAGAAATGTGGTAGTCTGAACCATTTCAGTCTTGGAAACTGTATGGGGCAGTTCTACTCTGTCCTGTAGGGTCGCTATGAGTTAGAATCAACTCGAAGGCAATGAGTTTCTATCTATCTATCTCTATCATCTATCATCTACATGTATCTACCTAGTATCTATTTACCTGTGTATCATCTATCTTTCTATTATCTACCTATCAATTCATTTTTATTTAACTCTATGAGGTATAATTAGCATATAATGCTATTGTTGTTAGATGCTATCAAGTTGATTCAGACTCGTAGTGACCCCATGTACAACAGAACAAAACACTGCCTGATCCTGCACCATCCTCACAATCGTTGCTATGTTTGAGCCAATTGTTGCAGCCACTGTGTCAATCCATCTTCTTGAGGGTCTTCCTCTTTTTGGCTGACCCTCTACCTTACCAAGCATGATGTCCTTCTTCAGGGACTGGTCTCCCCTGATAACATGTCCAAACTACCTTAGATGAAGCCTTGCCATTCTAACTTCTAGGAGCATTCTGGCTGTACTTCTTCCAATACAGATTTGTTCGTTCTTCTGGCAGTCCATGGTATATTCGATATTCTTCACCAACACCATAATTCAAAGGCATCAATTCTTCTTCAGTCTTCCTTATTAATTGCCCACCTTTTGTGTGCATATAAGGCGATTGAAAATATCATGAAAAATACCCTCTTAGTCCTCCAAGTGACATCTTTGCTTTTCAACACTTTAAAGAAGTCTTTTGCAGCAGATTTGCTCAGTGCAATATGTAGTTTGATTTCTTGACTGCTGCTTCCATGGGTGTTGATGTGTATCCAAGAAAAATGAAATCCTTTAGCATATAATAAAGCCTATAAATTTTACCTGTAGAATTGGATGAGTTTTGAAAAATGCCTACAGTTGTATAACTACTACAATAAAGTTTCTCCATGTCCCTTTGTAGTGAATACTTCCCACACCCCCTAGCCCTGGAAATCACGAATTTGCTGTCACTGTAGTTTTATCCTTTCTAGAATTTTGTATAAATGGAATCATGCATTGTGTAGTCTTTTCAGTTGTTTCCAGCTTTTGGCGATTATGAATAGAGCTACTATAAATATTTCACGTAAAGTTTTCGTGTAGATGTATATTTTCATTTTTTTAAGCTAAATACCTATTAATGGAATTACTGGGTCACATGGTAAGAGCTTATTTAACTTCATAAGGAGCTGCCAAATTGTTTTCCAGAGAGGCTATACCATTTCGCATTCCCCCAAGCAATGTATGAGAGTTCTAGTACTCCACATCCTCACCGGCACTTGCTTTGCTGTTGTCAGTGTTATCTGTTTTGCCATTCAAACAGATGTTAGAGACATCTCATTGTGGTTTTTATATGCATTTTCCCAATGGCTAATGATGTTGATGACCTTTTCATGTGCTTATTTGCTATATGTGAAGTGTCTGTTCAAGTGTTTTGTTTATTTTCTAAAGTGCTGTTTGTTTTCATACTGTTGATTTTTGAGAGTTCTTTATATAGTCTAGATAAAACTCTTTTGTCAGATATGTGGTTTGCAATATGTGATTTGTAGCTTGTCTTTTCATTCTTTTAACCATGTCTTTCACAGAGAAGAAGTTTTAAATTTTTCATGAAGTACAATTTATTAATTTTTTTCTGTTATGGATTGTGCTTTTGGTGTCATATCTAAGGTCATGAAGATTTCCTCCTAAGTTTTTTTCTCAAAATTTTATGGTTTTTACATTTAGATCTATAGTCTATTTTAGGTTAAATTTTATATAAAATGTGAGGTATAAATTGAGGATAATTTTTTTTTTGCATGTGAATGTTCAAGTGTTACACCATTTGTTGAGAAGACTATCTTTTCTCCTTTGCATTGCTTTTGTCCCTCTATTGTTAGGTGACGTGGAGTCGATTCTAACTCATAGTGACCCCATGTGACAGACTAGACTGCCCCATAGAGATTCCTAGGCTGTGATCTTTATGGGAGCAGATTGCCACGTCTTTCTCCTATGGAGCCGCTGGGTGGGTTCAAACCGACAACCTTTCAGTTAGCAGCAGAGCGCTGAACCATTGCTTTACCAGGGCTCCTTTTGCACCTCTGCCAACAATCAATTGGCAATACGTGTGTGGGTGTGAGGTATGAGACTTCTGTGCTGTGTACAATTCCGCCTTTTGGTCCTGGTTCTGAGAGTAGGACCACACCTGAGGCCAGTGAGTAGAGGGCCGACCCAGCTTAGCGGGATCACTTGGGGGCCAATACTGACAAAGCCTCAGGAGGCCACATAGTGAGGTCAATAAAGGCCTTGGAAGATGGAGGCTCACAGGAGCTTTCCGGGTTGGAGATTGCAAACATTCTGTTCTTGGAGGAGAAGTGAGCATGGTCCCTGGGGACATTCCCCCTCCCCCCACCAATTCTTGTCCCAGGGTGGAGACGTCAGCCTGGGGGATAAGAGATTGGAAATTCATAAGGCACTGACACCACGAGCAGCAGAAACCCTGGACCAGGTAGAAGGCAAGCTGGGAGAAAACAGCAGCAGAGGCCAGGAGAAGAAGAAGCTGGTGTCTGCTGAACAGAGAAGTGAGGAGAGGGCTGAGAACTGTAACACTCTTGGGGCTGCGAAACACCAGAAACAGTGGAAACCACTAGCTGCCTTGGGCAGTGGCAGAAACCCTGTCCATTCCTATATAAGTCTCTAGAAAGAGAATGGAGTTACTATGTGCATTAGTTTCCTGTGAGTGCTGTAACAAGGTACCACACACTTGGTGGCTTATAAGAACAGAAATTTATTGTCCCACAGTTCTGGAAGCTAGAAGTCCTATATCAGGGTGTTAGCCATTTGATTCCTTCTGAGGGCTCTGAGGAAGCATCTGTCCCATGCCTCTCTCCTAGCTTCTGCTAATGGCTGGAGATCCTTGGCGTTCCTTGGCTTGTGGCTGTATCACTTCAAAGCTCTGCTTCCATCATCACATGCTATCTTCCCTCTGTGTCTGTTCTCCTCCTTTATAAAGACATCAGTCATACTGGATTAGGACCTACCCTACTCCAGTATGACCTCATGTTAATTTAAGTGGTAACATCTTCAAAGATCATATTTCCAAACAAGGTGGTTTTCACAGGTACCAGGGGTCAGTACTTCAACATATCTTTTTTGGAGACACAATCCAATTCATAACACTATAATCAGCTTATTATAATCAAAATTCTCCTTTCTGGGGCTAGCTAGACAGGAGCCCAGCTTCCAAGATTCCCCTGAAACCCAAATAAAATCAGGGTTCTGTTAGCAAGGAGTAAGAGGAAAAAGAGATGTTGAGTAGGTTACCAAAAAGTCTACATAGTTTCTTCTGACATCAGCTAAATTGGTCTTTCCATTTAAAACCACCTCTTTCAGGTACGGTCAATCTCACTTGAATAGCTTCCTCCACTTCCCTTTCCAAAGATGGCTTCTGAGTGAAGTGGAAGCTCTCAGACTCCAGTGGTCCCCTTGGGCTAACTCAGCCCACCTGAATTTGCCCTAGAGATGCAGACCTTGCTAAGTCTCAGCCACATGATCCTTCCTTGCCCTAGCCATGGGGACTCTATGGCAGACCTACCAGCTGTCAGTGCCTGTCCAGGGCTTGTGGAAACATCCAGATCCTTCCCATGGTACATGGGAGCTGAGGGAGCCTTTTGGTGCCTATTCTATCTACCTAAATATGGTGGAGCCAACCATACTCATCTGGGGCCACTGTGCATGGGAGGCTCTTTACAGATTTCATAGCATGGAGAGGTGAAAAAGGCTTTCACTTTTGCACACACACCTATGTATTGGTTATCTATTGCTGCGTAACAAATTACCCAAAACTTAGTGGCTTACAAACACTGCAACACTGCTGTTAACACCTACATGCCTGCAGGTGCAAGAGTGGTTACAGCTATCCAGAGAAAGTACCTGTGGACTCTGGTTAAGGGGAACAGCCACCCATAGCAACCAGGTAGAGAGGGAGCTGGGAGAGTAATATCCCAAACTTTCTCTCTTCCTGCCCTTCATCTGCTGCCAGGGCCTCCCACTGACCAAAACCAACTGGAATTCAGAAGGCAGAGCCCATAAATGTGGTCCATACAGGTTGGTATCACGTAGCACAGAGCAGAGTGGAGAAGGTTGGACCTCAACAAACCAATGGAAGATACAGCACATTAAGTTCAGGTCATATTTTCCTAGAGAATAACACGATGGCAGCCCCATTACCAGTGTTTAATTTGCTCCTTTTTTTAGTTCCTTATACTTAAGTTATAATTTAGGTTATTAATTTGGTATCTTCTTTCTTTTTTAACATAGGCATTTTAGAGCTATGAATTTCCCTCAGAGCACTGCTTTTGCTGTGTCTCATAAGTTTTGTTATTTTGTGTTTTTACTTTCATTTGCTGCAAAATATTTTCCAATTTCACTTGTAGTTTCTTCTTTGACACACCCTTTAAGAATGTGTTGTATAATTTTCACATATTTGTGAAGTTTCCACTTCTCCTCCTATTACTGATTTCTCATTTCATTCCATTGTGGCTGGAAAAGATCCTTTGCATGATTTCAATCAATCAACATTATTTAATTAAACTAAAGCGAGCTACATCTCAGTGAGACAAAATAAAAAACGGTGGACATAGTGCCCTTCACTGCTGACTCCTCCACTGCCCAGAGAACGCTGGGCTGTCAGAGGCCCCCTCCTCTTGTTCTCACCACAGTGGATCCTGCCCAAGTCAAGAAATTAAGACAAAGGGAAAAAGCAGCCTTTATTAAGCTTATACTATGTCTCAGGCACTGTTTGTTAATTGCCTCACATGGCATTTCATTTAAGGTATGGCAGTGCCTTCTGGAGTCCCTGGGTGGTGCAAATGATTAATGTGTTCAGCTGCTAACTGAATGATTGGAGGGCCAAGTCCACTCAGAGGTGCCTTAGAAGAAAGGCCTGGCAATATACTGAAAAATCAGCCATTGAAAACCCTATTGAGTAGAGTTCTACTCTGACACACATGGGGTCATTATGATTGTAGCTGACTCAATGGCAACTGGTTTTAGTGGCTCCCATTTCCCAGATGAGGAAGCTGAATCTTTGGAGAAGCACACATTAATAAAACGCTAGAGTAGAACGTGGAACAAGTCCTTATTTAAAAACTCTGAGACCCATAGCTATGGGCCAGGTTCCACCTCAGAGCCACCCTCACCTCCTTATTCCGAAGTGTGTACGCCACAAGATTCATCAACGGAGTCACCACTGTGTAGAACACAGCCACCAGGCGGTCCTGGTCATGGTTTCCCCTTGACTCTGGCCGCAGGTAGATGATGGCAGCGCAGCCAAAATGCACAATGACCACAGTGAGATGGGCCGCCCGTGTGGAGAAGGCCTTGTGCCGGCCAGCTGCTGAGGGTATCCTCATGGTGGCGGCCACAATGAAGGCATAGGGGAGAAGGATGAGGAGAAAGGAGACCAGCACGACCAGGATACTCAGGAAGAAGATGACAAGCACTTTGCTGGAACTTTTGGTGCAGCTGAGCTTCAGAACTGGGGCAGTGTCACAGAAGAAATGCTCCACATGGTTGCTGCGGCAGAAAGGCAAGGAGAAGATCATACTAATCTCTATCAAGGCCACGGAGAACCCGGGACAGAACACAAGGGCTCCCAGCCAGAGGCAAAAGGTGGGTCTCATGATCATTGTGTAGCAAAGGGGGTGAGATGGCCACATACAAGTCATAGCCCATCAGGGTAAGGAGGAAGCAGTGACTGCACCCCAAGCTGAGGAAGAAGAACATCTGAGCCCTACAGCCAGTGATGGAGATGGCCTGGCTCTCCATCAGCAGATGGGCCAGCATATTGGGGATGGTGACCAGCGCGTAGCAGGTCTCAGAGAGGGACAGCACCGCCAGGAAGCGGTACATGGGAATGTGAAGGGTTCGGTCTATGTGGATAATGGTGATGACGGTGGTGTTGCCACTAAGGGTGACCAGGTATGTGAGGAAGAATAAGGTGAAGAGCATGGTCCTCAGGTCTGGGAGGTTGGAGAATCCCACCAGAACAAACTTTGTCACCAGCCAGGTAGTATTTCCCCCCTGCTTTTCAGGCGCCTGAAAGGAGACAACAGACTCAACAGAATACAGTGACATATGGATGGTCTGCTATGCATCTGGTACCAGGAGGGTAGGAGAGTTTTGATGGTTAATTTTATGGTTAATTTGTCTAGGCTATGGTTCCTAGTTGTTTGGAAAAACACAAGTCTAGTAGTTACATGTCATTAGATCAGTTGACCTTAGGTAGAGGAGATTCCACCACTTGTCTGTCGGTTTGTTGAACTGTGGTGGCTTGTGTGTGGCTGTGATGCTGGAAGCTATGCCACCAGTATTTCAAACACCAGCAGGGTCACCCACAGTGGACAGGTTTCAGCGGAACTTCCACACTAAGACAGAATGGGAAGAAGGATCTGGTGATCTACCTCTGAAAAAACTGACCAGTGAAAATCTTATGCATAGCAGTTGAACATTGTCTGATGTAGTGCTGGAAGATGAGGCCCTCAGGTTGGAAGGCACTCAAAATACAATTGAGAAGAGCTGCATCCTCAAAGTAGAGTTGACCTTAATGACGTGGATGGAGTAGAGCTTTCAGGACCTTCATTTGCTTAGGTGGCAAGACTCAAAATGAGAAGAAACAGCTGCAAACATCCATTAATAATCGGAACTTGGAAAGTATGAAGTATGAATCAAGGAAAATTGGAAGTTGTCAAAAATGAAATGGAATGCTTGAAGATTGATAACCTAGGTATTAGTGAGCTGAAATGGACTGGTATTGGCCATTCTGAATCAGACAATCATATTGTCTACTATGATGAGAATGGTAAATTGAAGAGGAATGGCATCACATTCATTGTCAAAAAGAACATTTTAAGCTATATCCTAAAATACAACTCTGTCAGTGATAGAATATTATCTGTACGTCAGTAAGGAAGACCATTAATACCACTATTATTCAAATTTACACACCAACCACTAATGCCAAAGATGAAGAAATTGAAGATTTTACCAACTTCTGCAGTCTGAAATTGATCGAACATGCAATCAAGATGCACTAATAATTACTGATGATTGGAATGTGAAAGTTGGGAACAAAGAAGAAGTATCAGTAGTTGGAAAATATTGTCTTGGGGATAGAAATTACTCGAGATATTACATGATAGAATTTTGTAAGACCAATGACTTATTCATTGCAAATACTTTTTTTCAACAACATATACAGCGACTATACACGTGGACCTCACCAGATGGAATACACAGGAATCAAATCAGCTACATCTGTGGAAAGAGACGAAGGAGAAGCTCAATACCATCAGTCAGAACAAGACTGAGGCTGACTGTAAAACAGACCATCAATTGCTTATATGGAACTTCAACTTGAAGCTGAAGAATATTGAAACAAGTCCGTGAGAGCCAAAGTACAACCTTGAGTATATCCCACCTGAATTTAGAGACCACCTCAAGAATACATTTGACGCATTGAACACTAATGACCCAAGACCAGACAAGTTGTGGAATGACATCAAGGACATCATACATGAAGAAAGCAAGAGGTCATTGAAAAGAAAGAAAAGACCAAAATGGATGTCAGAAGAGTCTCTGAAACTTGCTCATGGGCCTAGAGTAGCTAAAGTGAACAGAAGAAATGATGGAGTAAAAGAGCTGAACAGAAGACTACAAAGGGCAGCTGGAGAAGAAAAAGTAAAGTATTATAATTAAATGTGCAAGGACCTGGAGTTAGAAAACCAAAAGGGAAGACCAAGCTTGGCACTTCTCAAGCTGAAAGAACTGAAGACAAATTCAAGGCTCGAGTTGCAATACTGAAGGATTCTATGGGCAAAAATATTGAACTACATAGGAAGCATCAGAAGAAGACGGAAGGAATACACAGAGTCACTGTACCAAGAATTGGTCAATGTTCAACCAGTTCAGGAGGTAGCACATGATGAAGAACCCATGGTATGAAAGGAAGAAGTCCAAGTTGCACTGAAGGCACTGGTGAAAAACAAGGCTCCGAGGATTGATGGAATACCAATTAAGATGTTTCAACAAACAGATGCAGCACTGGAAGCGTTCACTCATCTATGCCAAGAAATTTGGAAGGCAGCTACCTGAACGACTGACTGGTTGTTGTTGTTGGTAGGTGTTGTGGAGTCATTTCTGACTCATAGCAACCCTATGTATAACAAAATGAAACACTGCCAGTCCTGTGCCATCTTCACAATCATTGTTATGTTTGAGTCCATTGTTGTAGCCACTGTGTCAATCCATCTCATCAAGGGTCTAACTCTTTTTCACTGACCTTTACTTTACCATCATGATGTCCTTCTCCAGGGACTGGTTCCTCCTGATAACATGTCCAAAGTATGTGAGAAGAAGTCTTACTATCTTTGCTTGTAATGAGCTTTCTGGCTGTACTTCTTCCAAGACGAATTTGTTCCTTCTTCTGGCAGTCCATGGTATATTCAGTATTCTTCACCAACATTGTAATTCAAACTTCCGTATTTACTGTCCTGCTTTCACATGCATATAAGGCGATTGAAAACACCATGGCTTGGGTCAGGTGCACCTTAGTCCTTAAAGTGACATCTTTGCTTTTTAACTTTTTAAAGAGGTCTTTTGCAGCAGATTTGCCCGATGCAATACGTCGTTTGATTTCTTGACTGCTGCTTCCATGAGCATTGATTGTGAATCCAAGTAAAATGAAATCCTTGACAATGTCAGTCTTTTCTCCATTTATAATTATGTTGCTTATTGGTCCAGTTGTGAGGATTTTTGTTTTCTTTATGTTGAGGTGTAATCCATACTGAAGGCTGTGGTCTTTGATATTCATCAGTAAGTGCTTCAAGTCTTCTTCACTTTCAGCAAGCAAGGTTGCGTCATCTGCATATCGCAGGTTGTTAATGAGTCTTCCTCCAATTCTGATGCCACGTTCTTCTTCATATAGTCCAGCTTCTGGGATTATTTGCTCAGCATACAGATTGAATAAGTATGGTGAAAGGATACAATCCTTATGCACATCTTTCTTAACTTTAAACCACACAGTATCCCCTTATTTTGTTTAAACGCCTGCTTCTTGATCTAAGTACAGGTTCCTCACAAGCACATCAAGTGTTCTGGAATTCCCAGAATGTGGAAATTATTGAACAATATCATTAATATCACAGACAAGTAAAATTTGATGATGAACATTCAAAGGCAGTTGCAGCAGTACATTGACAGAGAACTGCCAGAAATTCAATCCAGATTCAGAAGAGGACCCGGAACAAGGAGTAACACTGCTGATGTCAGATGGATCCCGGCTTAAAGCAGACAATACCAGAAAGATGCTAACCTGTGTTTTATTGACTATGCAAAGGCATTCAATTGTGTGAATCATAACAAATTATGGATAACATTGTGAAGAATGCGAATTCCAGAATGGGAACCGACTGGAATAGATCCATATTCGTGCCACTTCCAAAGAAAGGTGATCCAATGGAATGCAGAAATTATCGAACACTATCATTACTATCACAAGCAAGTAAAATTATACTAAAGATAATCAACAAACGGTCGCAGCAGCACATCAACAAAGAACTGCCAGAATTTCAAGCCAGATTCAGAAGAGGATGTGGAATGAGGGATATCATTGCTGATTTCAGATGGATCTTGGCTGAAAGCAGAGAATACCAGAAAGATATTTACCTGTGTTTTATTGACTATGCAAAGGCATTCGACTGTGTGGATCATAACAAATTATAGATAACATTGTTAAGAATGGGAATTCCAGCACACTTAATTGTGCTCATCTGAAACCTGTACATAGATTAAGAGGCAGTTGTTCAAACAGACCAAGGGGATACTGTGTGGTTTAAAATCAGGAAAGGTGTGCATCAGGGTTGTATCCTTTTACCATACTTATTCGATCTGTATGCTGAACAAATAACCCGAGAAGCTCTACTATATGAAGAAAAACGCAGCATCAGGATTGGGGAAGGCTCATTAACAACCTTCGATATGGAGATGAAACAACCTTGCTTGCTGAAAGCAAACAGGACTTGTAGCACTTACTGATGAAGATCAAGGACCACAGCCTTCAGTACGGATTACACCTCAACATAAAGAAAACAAATATCCTCACAACTGGACCAGTAAGCAACGTCATGATAAATAGAGAAAAGATTGAAGTTGTCAAGGATTTCATTTTACTTGGATCCACAATCAACAGCCATGAAAACAGCAGTCAAGAAATCAACAATGTATTGCATCGGGCAAATCTTCTGCAAAAGACCTCTTTCAAGTGTTAAAGAGCAAAGATGACACCTTGAGGACTAAGGTATGTAATGCAATTACCTTACATATAATACAATGTATTGTAATGTAATCACTCTTCATAGGGCAGTCTAATCTAATGTAATCATCACTGAAATCATACCACTGTAGTGTGGATCCTCAACCTAATCACCTCTGAGCTATAAAGAGACTAAAATAGGCACACATAGGGAGAAGACTGAAAGTTAAACTTAAAATTATCACATGACCTAGCAATTCTACTCCTAGTTATATTCTCAAACAGATACTTGTACAACAATGTTCATTGCAGCATTATTAACAATAGCCAAAAAAATGGAAACAGCCCAAGTGTCCATCAACAGATAAATGGATAAACACAATGTGGATAGCCATACAATCGAATATTAGTCAGTCATAAACAGAAATGAAGATCTGATACATGCTACAATGTGGATAAACCTTGGAAACAGTATGCTGAGTGAAGTAAACCAGACACAAATGTGGCATGATGTAAGACCCCGCTTACATGAAATGCCCAGACCAGACAAATCTATAGAGACAGAAGGCAGACTAGTCTTTGCCAGGGGCTGGGGGAGGGGATGGGAAGCGATTGCTTAATGGGTTGCTATGTTGTTAGTAAGGAGTCCTAGTGGTGCAAATGGTTAAAGCGCTAGGCTGCTAACAGAAAGATTTTGGTTCCAACCCACCCAGCAGCTCCTCGGGAGAAAGATTTTAGCCTAGAAAACTCAATGGGCGGAAGACATCTACATCAATTGGCATAACATAGTGCGTAAAAACAATGTTCTACATCTTCCTTTGGTCAG